CTAATAAGTAATCACCTTGAGACTCAATAATCTTTTGAACTTTACATGATAATGATTTTCTAGTAAATTACTCAGTTGAAATTGGAATGAATATTTTATCCAATTCTTAAATGATGATTACTTTTCTATTAACAATTTGACTTGCGTTGTCTTTTCATGCTCATCATCATCATCATCATGAACATTATTGATTTGATTTCCAATTTCATGATCTTCCTGATCAATTCACCATTCCAAAGAAAGTCCTGTGGTTTATTATTATGACGATTATGCTGAAACTTTTTTTACGAATTTGATAGTTTCTTGTTTCTTTTTGTTATTCAAATTTTAAGAACTTATTTCATGTTCCTGAATTTCAATTCCCACCTGAGAATCGTAAAGATATTACATTTCTTCAACTTTTTTTTATTCTCCAATAGTAATTGACTTTAAAATAGTTTCTTTCATTTCCAAATATCGACAGAACGTTAATGTCTCTTCGAGTTACTTGATATTGTGAAAGAAAACGTATCAAGTATCGAAGATGAAAAAGTTAAGAGTTCCATCGAATTTGATTTTCTAATGTAGATAGAATATTATTTCACAATTCTCTCTGATCTTCTTTTCCTGTACCATGTAAACTTTTGATTATTATTTGTCGGAATAAAAGTATTAGTACTCATATTGAATGGATCAAAAAATCAGTTCTATTAATAATAAGATTTTCGCTGTTACATTTCAACTTTTTCTTTTATATAAAATTAATCGTTCATCATGTCAACTTAACCTTCCTCTCATCATGGGTGCGTTATTATCAAACTATTATCATCCACCCTCAGTAAATTTGCCATCCAATTTGTTATGATACTTTTTTCAACACCAGGATAATGATGATGATAAGATGGGAGGATGATAATAGTGATGATGAAAAAAAAACTGTTTGTGACAATAAAATATCAACTTAATTTACTATAAATGTGAAATATCATTTATCAAATGTTTCTCATTCTCATCTTTTGTTGAAGATGAAGATGGTGATGATAAAATGATAGAAGTGATGAAAATAATGATGATGATAATGATTAAATCTTAATTTTTTACTATTATCTTTAAAGATCTGACAAAAATTGTCAATGGTTTGTCACCACTATCAACATTTACTATTTGGTTTCTCTATCATCATCATCATCTCTCTCTCTCTCTTTGGTTTAGATAGCAATAGACTTTAGGTAAAGATTAAAGAGTTTTTTTCTGGTATCAATCCATTCAATTGTTACCTGTTTTTCTTACCTGTGTATCGATTCAATACTTTCCAGCCAATTGGATAATTATTTTAACATTGATTCCCATTTGATATTGTTTTGATTTCAATTAATCAGATTGAAACTTTGCAAATGTTGACATTAGTCCCTCATTTGAATTTGTTTTAATACATCATCATGTTTATATCATTTTGCTTACATGAAGGATATTGGTAATCAATGTTATTTACATGATATTAACTGAATTTAATTTTATCTTGATTGTTCTCATCATGTTGATTGTTAAATAAAGATACCAAAGGTTTAGATTGATCTTGTTGACTGGATCTCTTGAGGTTTTCAGACTTATCATCCCTGATGAGTAACCTCCTGTAATGTGTGTACCTTTATTATTGACATGAACAAGATGATGAAGATGATCAATTGATTTCATCTGTGAGTATAATAATATATTTATATTCATTATTATCATGGATATGAGCATGAATTTTACTCAACCACTCACTTTATCGTTAAGAGAAAAAAAAAGTTCTGATATTCGATTCAATTGGTTGTTGATCATCATTCGATTTTTTCATCATCTTCAACCATCTCATCGTCTTTATTGTTATCATTTTAACTGTGGCTCTTTTCATCATTCAACTGAGGATTCCAACCTTTAGGGTCTAACTCTGAATCAGAACTTTTCTCTCTCTCTCTCTCAACTTTTTTCGAATCACTATTAAGATTTCAATGGAAAATAATTCAATGATGATTATAATAACCATCCATTGAAGACACAATAGAAAATACCCTCAAGGTCACAGCATTTTCATATTATTATCATCATCATCTAACGATAGTGTGAAAAGATTAGATTTCAGACTTTAATTATTATCAACAATCAACTTATCGAAATCAATATCTTAATATAAACACTTAAAAGAAAATGAAATCATCAGAACGGAAAAAGGATGAAATGATCTATTTTGATGACGAAATTAGATCTCAAAATGATCGCGATGATATTGTATCAATGAAGAATAATAATTTTACGCCCTTAAAAAAGTTCTCATCGAGTTCTAATCAAGTTCCATGATGTTGATTCAAGTTGATTCGATAATCAAGATAATTAAGTTTACTGGAAGTTTTTTTTTTCATCAGACAATTAATCAGATAAACAAATACACATAACAATTGGTTAAGATCCTCTATATTGTGGTAACCCTGATAATTAAATAAAAACAATAATTCTGATGATGATGATGATCAATTGTAAGAAAAATCATCACCATTTACTGATGATGATGGAGATTAGTTAATGATAGTTGAATGGGAAAAGGACGATTAAGAAAAAAAATTTACTCGATCGGTAATAAGTTGAGTAAACAATTTCTTTGTTAATTGTTGATCAATAGTTAATGAATTACGATTAAATCAGTTAGCTGTATATTATCATTATAAACCATTAACTACCAATGAATTTAATTTTAATCAATCAGCAATGAGTATTCATTCAATTTAATGTTGAAAATTTCCATATTATTATTAATACATGAATGAGATTATCTTTGTATTAAGGTCAACACATTGATGTTATTAATAAAACTCAAGTCAAGTTTTGTGATTATCAGTTGATGATCAATGGTTTTGACCATCAAAAAGATTCAATAAAAAACATTGGTGTATTATTAGCCTATGACCCTTCACATAAGATGTTCAGGATGACCAGGTAATAATTTGAGTCTGAACCTGATTCCAATCATGAAATTTGTTCCCAGTTGAAAATCTTAACCTTTTATTATTATCATTTGAAACTTTGGTATTGAGTGAAACCTGTATATCCAATGATGATAATGGATACAAGTGAATGAGTGGTAAAGGTGATTGTGGTTCAAGGTAACAATTGAAACTGAATTTAATTCTCAATCCTATCTCATGATCATTTATGGTTTCATGATATAACCTTATATTGTGTATACTTAGTTCATCCTCTGATCTAGTTTGATCAAAGTTTCCGATGGTTTAGTGATATTATTTTACAACTTTTCAGATTCTCTTTGAAAAAAGAATAAGGATAATCCTCATGAACTGAATAAATATAAACTCGTTCGTGAGATATTTCTAACCCTGAAATTGTCACCATGAGATAAAACCTTTTATCAATATTATCCATTGATGATTGAAATTTTGTAACTTTTTTCGCTCGAATTTATTTATTTGGTTCAAGTTCGAGAGAATTTCTGATCAGAACTATTCATGAACAATGAAAATCGAAAGTTTTAACTTCAGGATAATCAACTCTGCGATTAAATTAGATTATTATTAGAACGTTAGTCTCGAGCTAATAACATCTGAACTAAACTCGAATTAATTTCTGAACATTAACTATGAAAAAATGGAATTTTTTTATCCAAATCACTTGGAATAAATTGTATTCCCTCCATTCACTAGTTAACGAAATAAAGATTATCGTAGTTGATTGTGAACCTTTTATGATGAGAAATCTACTCACGATTAACAATCAGCTCTTTCTGTGATATGATTAAATCATTTACAATTAAAGTGCAATTTTTTCGATATAAAATGATTGTTAAGAGTAAATTAATTGTTCACAATATTAGTTAATTGGTTTCCCTGTTAACAATTGATTCATTTACAACACAATTAACGAGAAGATCCTGTTACAATCCACTCAATTGTAATTTGATTTTTTTAATCATTTCGGTGGTTCAATTGTCATCATTTTATTCAATGGATGATTAATATTAATTGTTACATATTTTTCAATTATATTAATATTCATTTCTACAGAGACTCAAATGTTGCCTGATGATAACATTTAGATTGAACTTATTGCCTATCCAACTTGTTTGGATTTCAGGATGGAAGCATTCAGTTTATTTCAGGTCAAAATTCAACCTAATGATTATCATGAACAATTTAAATGATAGATTTGTTTCCTGGTGTGACTACTAAATCAATTTGATTGCAATTGGATTGATTGAATTGTCAGTTTGTTGTTTGAAAGAAAAGAAAAACTTTGTTTTAGTTTTCAGAGATTTCCACTTGGATTCTGGTTCTGATTCTTTATTCTTGTAACAATCACTCGACTCTTGAATTACATGGTGATGATTAAGATAATAATAGAACATTTTTTTTCTTCAATACAACTTGTCGAGTTGATTGATTACTCTAACTATGATTTATCTCAATCTAATGTCACCTTGATTTCCATGTCAAACAGAGTTGAGTTCATGATAGATTTTCAATTTCTTTCTCAAATCTTTTCGATAAAACTTTCTTTGTACTATTAGTATTTGAAAAGCTCAGTCTCCAATGAATAGTGTCATGATAGAAAAACAAATACGATAATAAGTTTCCACTCTTAATTTAACCGAATCAGTTGAAAAGTTTACGAAATTTTAAATCCAAATTTCCAACACTTTGTAAACCAATGATCAAAACTAAATCAAATTTCAGTTGATCACATGAGATATTCAAGAACTGAATTCTCTAAGTTCAGATTAACAAGATAAGCTTACGATTCTCTATTCACTTAGCATGTAAAACTGAAAATATTTCCACCATGATAACAGTTTTATTCAAAGTCTGACAAGTTCAAAACTTTTCTTCGACTGTTAATTGTTCGTAATCTTCGTAACTGTATTGATAGTTGATACTAAAGTTTCACGTTATCTCTATCGATTATTAATATTTTGTTCATCTTGATCGTTAATTTGAGTCTTGAAGTCTCAGTTCAATGGAAAAACAAATCAATTTCTCGATAACAATTATCTTTAATGATACAAAATATAAAAAGAGATCAAATGAAGAACACAAAATAAATGAGTAGTTATATGTTACTGAAGTTAATTGGTAAGTTAAAATATGAAATTCAACACAACAGAATATGAAAGACTGATTGATTCTCATTATTATCGTTAGATATCATGAATATTATGTTGGGTCAGTCAATCGATTCTACGATAAAAAATTAGCATTCGCTGTTTGATTGTCTTGTATACTCTGAGTGGCTCAAGAACTTTATTATTGTCGATCTCTTTCCACTCGTCATTTGTCTTGATCATTACACAAGTATGAGTTCCATCTTGACTGTCATCATCTTGAGGTTCGGTGTCTCTTAGAGTTTTCTGTACATCATTTGAGATTTGAAATCCATGAGATTTCAACTCATAGCGATGATTAGTTTGTCCAACTTTAAATTTCAGCTCAGAACACATGAGAATATCTTTAGGATTTTCGATAGAGGCTGGAATTACATCTTTGATCGTAAAAACTAAATACTTCGGTGCATTAATGAACTCAAGCTTTGAAACATCGACTATTGGTTCGTTGCAAATCATACCTGAAGAGGAAAGAAAATTTTAATGAAAATGGTAAAAGAAATGAGATGAAACTACTAACCATCGTTGTTTTTGCTACAAGTTTGATTACTTAGCATCAAACTACTTTCTAGAAATTCTTGTAATGATTTAACACCAAGATCATCATGATACTTGGGAGCGACAGTCAAACTATTCATTTCAAGGTCGATTGGTTCGTTTTGAGCTCCACACTTACAATTATAACTGAATTTCATTGCAACTTGATTGAAATGTCGAAAAGGGTTGATCTCTTTCAATCGAAACTCTTTTTCAATTTGATCAAAGAGATCTCTATAAAACAGTCTTGAATCACCTCCTAAAATATGAAAGAATCAGAGTGAGAATCATAATTAATGACTGCTTTCTAATTACCATTGGGTTTTTATGACAAAAAGATTAGAGTTTAGATTATAATTTACCTGGGCTGCCATAGTCTTGACTTACAGAGTCTCTTAATTGCATGATTATGTAGATTAAAGCTGCATCAACATTAAGAACGTCCCGTCGCCCAGTTGACCTAACGTAGGATTCAGCGACCTTTCTCCAGTCCTGATACTTATTTTCAATGCCGGTTGGAAGATGGTCAACAACGAGTGGCCCATTTCTTGTACCTTTTATATAGTTTTTATGCAACTCTTTGAGTCCATAAAAGGTTTTAAAATTGTCCCGTTTCTCTTGTCTTATCAATGCAAGACCATTCATGAGACAACGTGAAAACTCAGGATCATTTAGGAAAGTGATAAGTGTAGGCCAAGTGTAACAGTGTCCACGATAGTTTGGTAGCCCCGATATATTTTGCTAAAAATAATTGTAACAATTATAAGTATGACCAAGTTAAGATGACTCAGATCTTTGATTATCATGGGGACAATCAAGAAATTGTGTGAATTTAGTTAGAATAAGCTTACCTCGAAGTTAATAGCTAAATTAACTTTCTCTAGTAATAGAGAAGCTGCAATATCAGCAGCGGCTTTTTTTCTCGAAGCAACACCAATGGCGAAAAAAAGTTCATTTGAATTCGATTTCAACTCCCATTTAACAACATGGTGATCTTTGTTTGCATAGTTTTTAATATCGACCCACTTTCTTATTGATATAAATATGTCCCTACGTCGATGATAAGTATTGTTGATCAGCTGTTTGATTGGTTCGCAAATTGTTTCATGATTAACACTTTCACTAAGAGCTGACTGAAATTCATTGAAACTAATATTGAATGGAAGCTCTTTGATTGGTGAAAAGTTTGATGACATGGTGATGAACAATAAGAATAAGAAAAAATCAAGAAACAATAAGCTTAATTGTCTAAATCAATTACAAAATCACACAAAAAAAAATCAAAACATCAACAAGAAAAAAGTGACAGACAAAAATTAAATTTACTAATTAGTTATCATTGTTAATTTGTAATTACTCATTAGATGTCACTACTTATGGTCAAGATTAAAATTGATCCAAATTTAAATTTTTTTTAATCAACGTTGATTTAGTTCCGAATCAGCCCTTAATTGTGATTAAAAGTTTTGCCTCATTCTAATTGTGATAATTTATTTTCTTTCTCATTCTCCTCATGATAATGTTGCGATTTCGTGACAAATTATGATCATAATTGATCTTGATTGTTAAATTGTGTAATTTATCAATACAGTTGATTAATAATCATTGTTGATGGTAAACAATGATTAAAAGTTAATTGTATTGTATTGTATTCATAATTTTAAATTGATTAATATATTAATTATTTAATCAACTTGAGTATTTGATTTATTATTAATGTTGAGTTGACTTTATGTTGATAACTGATTAATCTGAGTGATTAGACAATTAACTGATCATAATTGATTAATATTGTGTGAGAGCAGAAAATTAAATTATTAACCAAAGTAATCAACTTTTCATTTATATTATCAAGTAAAATCAAAGTTACAATTAGTTAATTAACCAAAATTGATTATGATTAACAGAGACACGATTTTTGTTATTTGGTTGGTTGATTAATTTAATTGGTGAATTAAAAAAAATATGGTTCATATAATTTGATGTTCATGTTTTGGTTTTGTGACATTTGATTTGATTCAATTTGATGTAGTAAATTGTTGTCATAATTAATTTAATAATCAATTGGAATCACGAAGTAATCGTAACCATCGATAATCATTAGAATGGACAATCAGATGAGTCTGTTGATTCTGAGACATTTCCTGAGGCTAACGATTTATGATTGAATCAGAATTTTTGACAGAATTATTTTCATTTGGAAATATCCGTTGATCAGAACTTCTTGAAATTCTGATTAATACTGGTGGTTCTTAGAATTTCACCAAATAAGAACTAAATGAAAGATCCATGATGATGATGAGGAGAATTTATTTAAGAAAAAGAAAAAATTTTCTAGGAATTTTTAGATTCGAAAGAAACTTTTATAATTACTCTTTCCATGAATTTTAATGAATTAAATTGTGAGAGTGAATAACATGAGTTGAATGAAGAGAGAGAGAGAGAGAGAGAGAGAGAGAGAGAGAGACAATTTAATTAACTAGCAGAAAAAGCGACTCAATTTCTTACAAAAATCTTCACAATTAATTAATCATATTATTCACAATTAAGGTAAATTGTTTAGATTTAATTTAAACCAAACAATTTGAATGAGAAGCAACAAAAAAAACGAAATTCAAACGGAAGATAATGAATTTATCTTCTAATTGTTGTTGATTGCTTATGGTTTTTTCTTGTACTCACTTGATTAAATCTCTAATTGTTCACTAATTGTTGTTGTATTTTCTCTCCCCTTCTTTATACAGATTAATGTTGATTGGGAATTAAGTGAAACCCTTTGTGATTTATGGGTGGCTGTTGATGTTACCTGTAGTACAGCTTCAATCCTTAATCTGGTTGCAATTAGTATCGACAGGTAAGTGATTAATAAATTGTTTTGTCAATTCAAAGCTCATATTTGAAGTATTAATAATTATCATTATTGATACAAAAACAACAAATGGTAATAAGATAAATGATTTTCTCATTAATTGCTCTTGCTAATTGTCCTGTTCTGAATAATCATTATCATTAAATGACAATTCAACTTAAACGGTTGTTAATCAGGACAGTTTATAAATCCACTGAGGGTTTAATTTAATTAGTTTGTAAATGATGATTAAAGTCTAATTGTTGGATATTATGTTCTATCATTATCTCAATTGATTGAACAATTAACTGTTTCTATCACACAATTAACTTGACAGTCGATAACTAGTTTAATGTACTTTGGGTTGGTTAAATTAAATTATTGGTAACAATTTAACTGATCAAAGTAATACAAACATTTAATCCTTAATTGATGTTCAATTAAGTTATTGTTTAATTGAGATTAAATTAACACTGATTAAACAATTTTGATTACAAATCATTATAATCCCTTAATTTGACTCAATTTAAATTCAACTTAATATTATTAATTAGATGAGTTAATATTCAACTCTAATCAAATTAACAAATTAAATTAATGAAAAAAAAAGAGACGATCAAAGTAAACAAATTAGTAAATTAGTTAGTGTTGGATTGATTAATTGATTAGAAGCAAAAAAAACATTCGTAAAGCCTTTAAATTGTTGGAGTTTAAATTAATATTACAATCAACAATTAGTTTGATACGAATCAGTAAATGATTACCATTGATTTAGACTGTTAGTTAATTTGTTGATTGTAATATTGAATTGTTTTCACTTTTTTTCTGATTCAGTTAATGAGCAGAAATTTAAATCTCTTATTAACCAGCAATTGGATCAAAATGCCGAGGAAAAAGTTAATCTAAGTTAATAATAATGATTCAATTTGTTGGCTTGGTAATTTGTTGGAGCGTTAATATAAATACGGTGGGAGTGGGAAATAGCAAGGGAGGTGGGAGATGATGAAAGTGATGAATGTGTAACTTATTATATAGTAAAAGTTATATAATCGTATATGAGTTAATCCAAATAATATTATATTAGGTATCCACATAAGTAATGTCGCTTTTTAGATAGCGCTCACTCGTTAGTGAATTTCTCGAAAACGAGTTGATGAAAAGTCATAAAAAATTTACAAAAAGAAGATCAATTCTCCATCTATGGCATTATGTGACTTTTACCGAAATCGATCAATTAATTTTGATAATTTATAAATTAAACTAAATCAACTTTTTTTCAATTTTTGAGATTATTTTTTCGAAACGACCATTTTTGACCTTAACATTATCAGAAATTTTTAAAAACTAGATCAAATTGTAGAACATGAGTTGGACTATTCGATATAAAAATTTGATCATTTAGGACAATTTCCTCGAAAAATAATAATAAATTGAATTCGAAAATTAAGGAATTTTATGCATTATTTACCATTTAAAAACCATGAACAAAATTCAGAAAAAAGGGAAATTTTAAGAAAAATACAAGTCAATGGAGTTTCCATGTTAACTCATTCCGAATTCAATTTATTATTATTTTTCGAGGAAATTGTCCTAAACGATCAAACTTTTATATCGAATAGTCCAACTCATGTTCTACAATCTGATCTAGTTTTTAAAAATTTCTGATACTGTTAAGGTCAAAAATGATCGTTTGAAAAATAATCTCAAAATTGAAAAAGTTGGTTTAGTTAATTTATAAATTATCAAAATTAATCAATCGATTTCGAAAGTTATATTATTTCAGTTGGAGAATTGATCTTAATATTAAAATTTTTTCACTTATTCTGATTAATTGATGATGATGATGATGATGATGGTGATGAGGAAGATAATCAAGAATGTCAATCCAGTTTCCGGTTCTCTTGATAGTATTTTTTTAATCATCATTGAGATTTGTTTCTTTCTTACTCATCTATTGGGATGAAAGAGTTTGATGATGAAGAGAAAGGTTAACAATCATCTTTGAAAGTATCTTTGATTATAATTAAAGATGATGATGGAGATGATGATGAAACATTTTTGCTCCTTCGTCTGTGAAAATATCATTATTATTATCCAATAATAACAAACACTATTTTAAGCTTAAAGTTTTGCTGATTTTCATCTTGAAAATTTAACTCTCATGGTGATAATGTTTACAGTTAATGGTTTATCATGTAATATTTATCCATAAGAGTATTTATCTTGTATCTTTAACAATTATCTTCTTATCATCATATTCATCTTTAATCTTCTCGAGAGAGAGAGAGAGAGAGAGAGACTTTTCCATTGCTAATCCTTTTTCAATCTTTCTCTTTGCGTGTCCATTGCTCCTTCGATAAGTGAATGTTGTTGTTGCTTTTGCTTTCTCATATTATGGCCTCAATTTAATACCATTGATATAATCAATCGATTGCTGTATGTGTACAACATTATGATCCAGCATCTGATCACTTTGATTTATTAGCTCAAAGTAAATAAATGGAGTATTCAACTGATGAATCTTGAATCTAATTCAACGAAAAATTTCAATTTTAACCCAAATCTTTTGGTCTCAATATTATCTCGTAATCGCCAAGTGAAATCTATTGTATTAACATTACATCTCTCTTGCAATTGGTTCCTTGATATTTTTCCACTTCTTTTGCTCTCGAAATATCAACACCATGTTTACAGTTTTCTCTTCCATTATATCATCATCAATAGTATCTTCCATATCTGCTTTTCAAGTAATTCATTGGTTAGAAGAAGAAGAAGATAAAATTGACCAAAGGTTTTTTTTTCTTGTTCTGTTTCACTATTGACATTCTCACTGGTCACTTTTTGTTGGAATTGGAAACAGATTTAGTCTTTGAGATACTTTAACTATCTTTCTAACGTTAATCTGTCCCTTTAATCAATCTCATTGAGTAAAAATCCATTGAAGAAACAATTCAATCCAAATCAAGTGTAAAGCTTTTCCTTTGATCCAAGTTAAATCTTTTCCTTTCAATGATCTTTGTCTTTAGCATCCTCATCAGATCTTTCTTAAAGTCTATGGTCTTTCTTTTCATTCAATACTTTCATCTTCCACCATTGTCACCTTCTTTTCCTCTCCATCATCATCAACATCAACATCATATTTGTCTTATTTTCCATTTTTCATCCATTGTAACTTTTTGTTTCCTTTTTGATCTTTTAATTACTGCCAATCTCCAATGGGGATAATTGCAAGGGTGACATATAATGATAAAGAGTAACAATCAATCCTGTAAGAAAAAAAAGTAGAAAGTTAAAGATTAATTAAATGATTAAATCATAATAATGTTCAACTAAATCTCTCTATTATTAAATAATAATGAAAGTAATTGATTTTATCAAAATGATCATTTATAATGTATAAGTTGAATATCTATGTGTGTGTTTAATACTTGACTTTCAAGATTAATTGTCTTGAATATAATCACAGAGCAATCAATTGATTATACGGAATATAAATGAAACTATTTAACTTACTATACTGATTATTACATATTGATTAGAGTGTAGATTTGATTAATTGATTTTGTTGTTTATCCCTTTTGTTTGAAAAGGTTCATTGCTGTAACTCGACCAATTAAATATGCTAAACATAAAAGTAACACCAGAGTCTCGTTGACCATTGCAATTGTTTGGATTGTATCGGCGGCCATTGGTTCACCGATCGTTTTTGGCCTCAACACTTCACCCGAACGTAAACCTGAACTTTGTATTTTCTACAATTCAGATTTTATCATCTTCTCATCTTTAGGATCTTTTTATATTCCATGTGTTCTCATGGTTTTCCTTTATTATAAAATATTCAAAGCGATTCACGATCGAGCCAAAAAGTCCATAGGTAATAATAAGAATAAGCCAATTAGTTCAACGGATTCATCGCACACGGTGTTGGTCATTGAGAATAAAAGTGAAACCGCTAAGCTTAAAGAACGAACTGGTTTCCTTGGAAGGAAACGAACCAATAGTTCAAATAATTCATCTTTCATGTCGACCAATCAATCAGTTAGTAGTTGTGGTGGTGGTACAATAGGACCAGTTTTATGTAACAATTTAGCGACTTCTCAACAATTACATCACCATCACTCTCAGCAAATCGGTAATTCTGGTGTTGAACGGAAATCACCGTTACCCAAAATTATGGAAACTGAAAGTTTAACCAATAATGGTAGTGGATCTATTGAAGATGATGATGATGATGATCGGGAATTGGATATAACTGGATGTTCGGGTGGTGTATCGGGTTCACTTGAGTGTCACATAATTGCCAATAAACAGACTGTTCTTAATGATGATTCTTATGTAAAGAAAAATGTTCAAAATTTATCCTTTCATTCAGATTCTCAACAGAATGAGGTTGATGATGATGACGATGATGAGGAAGAAGATGATGATGATGATTATCGTGGTCCATCTTCCTGTGATTTGGAAAATACTGGAACATTAAAACACAGGAATTATCATGGGAACGCTGATTCAGGTTATGGACCTTCAGCTTTCGAGGAGACTCCTTTTTGTGTTTACAATCCAACAGCTGAGACACTTTCGTCTCAACCATCATCACCGACAATCATCAAGAATAAGATAATAACAAGCACAGAAATAGTTGAAGGTGGAGGTGGCAGTTTTGGTGCTATTGGTACTTCCTCGTCATCTTCCGGTGGATGCGGTGAAAGTCAGGAGTTAAATAACAACAATGATGAGCCAAACATTGATAGTAAAAGTAACAAGAAAAATAGTAGATTCAATAAATTGCTAAATCGAAGTGGCCAATTAAACGAAAACGGGTTAACAGTAAAACAGGGTCAACCACAACACCAACAGCAAATGCATCAACAACAACAACAGCAACAACAACCAGTTAAGAAGCGATCACGTTTCAATTTGGGGCGAAAACACAAAACGAGTGCTAAGCGTCGGGAAAAAGCTTCAGCTAAACGGGAAAGAAAAGCAACCAAAACACTGGCCATTGTTCTAGGTAATTATGATTAAAATTATCGTTCGATTAAAACTTTTAGTTTTTTTTCCGAAATTTCATTGAATAGTAAATTGTTCTTTATCTGATTCTGATAATAATGATGATGGTTAGTTGATGAAAATCGGGAATCCTCTTGAGAAAAGTGAATCTTTTATAACCAATGTAAGGATATTATCAATGAGCCTCATCACCAGTGATGAATCAAAGTGAAAACAGTAGTAAACAATGATGATAATGATGAAAATATGATGAAGCCAAGATGAGAAAATCATTGATTTACTTGAAGTAAACAACTGATGATAAAATAGTTTTCTCAATTTACTCAGCTGTTTATCTTGTCTATTATGATAACGTTGAGATGGTTCCTCTTTTGTTCAACCTTTGAACCAATTCATTGTCTCCAATGGGAATATCAATCTTTCAATTAAGGGTTTCCTTTGATGATACGATTGTTTATGATTAATGCTACAGATACAAATTCAGGAATATGAAGAGAGAATGGAAGAGAAAAAAAATCATCTTCATCATCATAACTTGACACTTGAAATAAATGAAAAACAAAAGATGAAGAGTAAATAATAACATTGGAAATTGTCCTCAGGTTAATATGGTGAAAACTTTGGGTTTGTCGATATTCATATTAGCTCAATGTAAATATTATCCTCAATATTGATGAGTTGATAATAAGGTTGATGATGATTGCGGTTTTCTCTTGTTTATCTGGTGTGTGAACAATTGAAAGTTTTGGTGGAAAGATGATTAAACTAATTGCATTGGTTACAGGTTTAGATTGAGACAGTTATCATTATTATTATCACCATCATCATCATCATCATCATTATGAGAGGAGCTTAATCTTTGTTTTCCCTCCGTGCAACTTAAACTTGTCTCTGGTTTGATATTTGTATTTCCCCTGTTAATGAAGATAAAACAATAATTTATAAGGAGAGAGAGAGAGAGAAAAATAAACGTTAATGTTAATGGAATAATTAATATTGATCACAATTGAGAAAACCTTTATTTTCTCATCCATGGATGTGTAATAATTCATCTTGATCCATATTTCTTTGGGCTTGTCACTGAGATTTCTGACCTTTTCTTCACCCACCGTCAATTACGAGTTTTTTCCTCTTCCTTTTCTCATGTAATTCTATCATAAGAAGAGAGAGAATTTGTAGTTTATTGTTTTCTCTTGATTGTTATCATTTGGTCACTTGATAGTTGTTAAAATAATAATTCTCTCTACTCGGAATCTTTGACCATTCCTTTTCTTTTCAACCATATTCCTTTTGTCTTGTATCTTTCTCTTTTCCATGTTTCTTTTCTTTACTTTTCCGTCTTTTGAATCAATTGCTCATTAATTTATCTCCATCATTTGATCCCTTCTCTCTCTCGATGATGATGATGATGATGGATTTGATTATCTATATAATATAAAGATGTCCACTGTCTTCCGCTTCCTTTAGATGTATCAGATTAGATCAACAATTTACCGATTTTCCTGCATCACCATTGATTCATGTTTGATGTTGTTGTTATTAACATTAATTATTTGATTCTTTGTCTTTACAATTTAAATCTTTAGGTGTTTTCCTAATTTGTTGGGCACCATTTTTTACGTGTAATATAATTGACGCTGTTTGTATAAAATTAAAAGCCGATGATGATTGTAAACCCGGTATGAATGCCTTCCTGTTGACAACTTGGCTTGGTTACATGAATTCTTGTGTTAATCCAGTCATTTACACCATATTTAATCCTGAATTTCGTAAAGCATTTAAAAAGATTATCAAATCAACCTTCTCACTAAGGTGACAATGGATATGGTCTTATTATTGTCCAATGACCAAGAGTAATCACATCAACGTAATCCAATAGCCTTTGATGAGTATCAATGGTCAACATCTTGAATCGCAACGATTTCCAATCAATCCTGGAAGAGAAAGAAATAAGATTATTATTTAAGCTATTAATTGTTTCTGATTTATAAGAAAAATATATATATAATATAATATATACGTGTTTACAATTTAAATTAGTGATATAAAATAACTTACAATCTCACTACCATCAAAAAGTTATTCAATGATATTGCAATTGAATTTAATCACCAGTTTTTTTTATCCATTACTGTTGACAATTAATCAATTAAACAGTGGGTATAATCAAGTGGTTATGCAGATAATAATACCCTGTAAATTAATTGAAAATCTTAAATATTTCAAGTAAATAAACAAAAATATTGGTTAACCTTTTAACATATTGAAAGATGAAGATACGATTGATTGATTGACTCCGGTGAATTGCTGAAAATGATGAATATTATTAACAGATTTGTTTGAGATTATATTGGAATCCTCTTGGAATAGTTAATTGTTTTCTCGGTGACAATCTGATTATGAATGACCAGCTTCTTGTAAGTCAATTGAATCTAAAAAAAGATGAGAAAGTTAAAAGTTGATAACAATCAATTGTGATTCAAGAAATCGGACAAATTAAGATACGAGAACAAAGTTATTACCATTTAATCACCTCAAGTCTTTTGTTTGCCATCTCTTATCTAAATACGATTAACAGTAAATATGCCACAATTAGCGATTTCCAATTAAGATGAGATTGTGACTTGAATTGTAAATCATATTGGTAAGTATGTTAATCAACCAGTCAGTCAACCACAACCAACCAGCTTAATCCATTAACTATGAGATACCAAGAAAAACAAGATACATGTAAATGTATTTATACAAATGTGATACAAAGATGAACATGATCAAATCGGATATCTACTACTGGATAATGTCAATCATCATAATCTTCAATACAACCAAAAAGCATTACCAATTTAACCAATAGTCAATAAGATTAATCCAACAACAACAACAACAAAACCAATCAACCATTTAGACGTTTAGATTATTCAACATGAATTCAATTAACTTTTCGATTACGAGTCACTAGATTAAAAAACATAGAAACATTAAGAGTAACAATCATTATTTGTAATTAAAATAAATTAAATTCCACAAATTATGTTTACAATTAATTAATAGAATAACAAAAATCAAAACAAACAATAAAGAAAAATTAATTCTCCAAATTAATCAAACTCTTTTCCCTCTTTTATGTTGTTCGATTTTCCATCAAAAGGTGTCGCCACTTTCGTAGAAAAAAAATTAAAATCGTTGATCCATCGTAACTTTTTTTCTTTAATTGTTTGCAATTAAATTGCTCTTGGAAATCTCATGGTTAATTTTTCCACATTTTGATTAATGATTACAATCGGAAATTGGATTGGTCGTTGGAAGAGATTGATTGTCCAATGGTAAGAACATGGAAGATACAATTTAACTCGATCCTTTAGGTTGGTTTTTTTTTCTCTATTAAGTTAACATGTAAACAAAGAGTTTTTTTTTTCTCTAATTTTCTTAATCAATTTGGGTTATTCTAAATTGTTTTTTTTTCTCTCTCTTTCTTTTTCGCAATTTAGTTGATCATTTGGTTGGCGCCTTTAATACACACTATTGGGTGATCAGAATGAACAGAATTGGATAAAATGAGAAAGAGAAATTTTTTTACAGAAATGGAAAAACAAAGCGAACAAAAAATTAGAGAGAAAAAGAGAAATTGAAGTTCAAATTGTTTTTTTCTTTTCTCTTCTCACTCACATTTACACTCACACAGTTTGGATTAATTTACTGATTGACCTTACCTGAAATTCAACTTTCCATTTAACCTTTAATCACCCGCAAAAAACGGAAAATGTGAACACCAATTAACACCTTACCTGTTTCTGGATATCTGAAGCAATTTCAATTCCAATAGCTAATCAAATTGATTAAATCAATACAACTTCAATTGGTGCTCATACTTATTATCTACAGAGAGGTGTACACACACTTGGAGCACTAGATTAAGTGCAATCAATTGACATGTTTAGCTTGAGTTCATGTGCTGGTGCAGATCCGATGGAGGAAAAGTCAAACCAAGTAACTTAACCATGGGAATTTAGATTACAATCTCTCTCTCTCTCTCTCTCTCTCTCTCACTAATTTGTCTGGTACAATTTTCCTCATATGAAGGAACTTACCCTGCAGTTACAATGTTCAATCATTGAAACCACGAGTTTAAAATGCTTTAAGTATGTACACATTTGTATAGAAATTTATTTTTTCTTCTATCCTTGAGCATCGATGATATAAAGCAATCAGTGGTTAACGTTAATTTATATATAAATATATGCTAATTAATCTCTTGTCCTTCTTACGAACAGAACTATTCAAGGATTCATTTGGATATAATTTACATGGATGATCTGATTGCAAATTAAATTGATCCCTTTCAAGATGATTTATAAACAACAACACCAGCTAATATACTGGATAGATTCAAATTAATGACATTGGACTCCAACCATTCGAGGATATTAATGTTAACCCTTTTTAAATTAATTATAGATACCGAAACTTTGCCGAAACTTAGCCGTTAATTGTTCAGCAAGTCGAATTCAAGTTTTGCTTGAGCCAGTTAATCGTTGACTCTACAGCCAGTTGATCGAATCACAGCTTAGTTGACTTGCTCTCTCACTTTTTTCTTTGCTTTTTTGTCTCCTCTTCTCCCCTTTTTAACTTTTCTCCACTTGTTTCACATGTTCCCGCCATAGACTTTAGCCTAAATTAACAATCGAATCAATAATTTACCTTTGATTGATTAACTTGCCCGATCGAATTTGTTAGCTCGGCTTGAGTAGACACCCGGAATGAAATAACTTTTCAATTTAATCGAACCCGCTTAATATTAGTTTACATTTCTAAAGATATAACGAACTCTTCTCGAAATAAAGTCCATCTTTTTTTTTCGGTTGGTGCTCAAATTAGAATAGTTTAAGCAGCTCATAGTTCACTCACTTTGGCTCAATTCGTTCGCCATCTAATTATTAGAACCTTTAAGTGATCCTCTTTCTGCGACTTTTTCGCTCACCGCCGAAAGAGTGAAAGTGCAAAAAAGGTAAAGAGTAGTACATTAATACTCGGAGACGGAGTAACAACTTGTTTACTCTTGAGTTGACCAGTCGATCGAATGAGCCAGAGGAAAATTCACTCTGACTTAGCCAAAAGTATTTCGACTCACTGATTAGCTCGGCTAACTTAAGCTTCTACTAATTAAAATTACCTGTTTCTCCAAATCCCCTTCAATTAATCGATTAATTACTTGATGGTGAGCATTCTAAAGGCTAAAATCAAATTGATTTCACAATCAAGATGGATGGTAATTTATATATACGCACACAAACATACGCAACAAAACTTGATAATCATCATCGTCTTCAGGTATTATCATCATCATGTAAACAAAAATTTCCGTTCTCTCTCCCTAATAGTAACATTTGCTTTGCTTATTATCAATTCTTACAGTTAATTATATTAGTTTCTAATCATTTTCTCTCCATCTTCAGATTGGCTCCATTTCTCATTACTTTACTGTCGAGAGAGAGTGTGTGTGTGAGAGAGAGAGTGAGCTGGTTCATTTCACTTTCTATCTCTTTTAGTGAATTTATAATCGTAAACCTGTTTCGCCAGGACCATGGACCAGTTTTACTCTCAGATTATCTGAATATGATCAGGAGTGAGAGAGAGAGAGAGTCGATGATGGTGGACGGAGGAAAACCAAATGAAAGAGAAAAGCAAAAGGAAAAAAAGAAAGATCAAAACAACAACAACATGGATGCAATTTGAAGGAAAACCTTGGATGGAAAAACGCGTTTCCAACATTCTCTCCCTTTAAACATTTTTATTTATCAGTTACATTTGCCTAAGGAAATGAAAGTTTATTCTGATGATCAGAATCATCAACCTTGGTTTTGATAAGGTAATTAAATGGCTTTAAATTATATTGATCATGATTAAGTTACACATTCATGTCGAAACTTTTCTCGTAAAAAAATCTAAATTAATCTCATCTGATTTTTCTTGACAATAATTGCTAATTTCGTTTAATTAACAGAGAAAGAAAGAAAGAAAGAAAGAGTATTTTGTATTGAAAGAAAATATCGAAATTATTGTCACACTTTTCTATTGATTTATGTGCTTTTGTTTTGTAAACATGATAGAAAATGGATTGACATTCATCGTGGAAAATGGTTTCAATGTTTTTTTTTAGGAAAATGGCAAATATCACAATAAAAATATTCTCTCGTTTGATTCCTTGGTGAATTAAACAAGAATAATCAATTTAAATTCCAAATTTTATTGGATATGTCTTGGGTTGGTCTCAGGTGTAATAATAATTATAAAAATCGGAGAGGATGAAAAGGTTTGTTTATGAAATTTTGAAGGAAAAATCGACGGAAAAAAATAAACTCTAGTCGATGTTGAGAGAGAGAGAGATGATCATGAAGAGAATAGAAAAAAATTGATAAAATAACTCGCTTTGTGAGTTCTGGTGGAGGAGATTAGGTGATAGTGAATCTTTTTTTGCTCCTTGGGACAACGAAAAAGTTTCTGTTGTTGATTTAGTTGTTGATTGTAATAACGATTGTTAATTGATAGACGAAAAAAAACGTAAAACGATTTGATTATTTGTTGTACTTGAAAATAACGGCCGCCGCGACCAGGAAGAAAGCCATCCAGGTACAGGTAACAATGAATCCTATGTAAACACCCGGTTCCGTGATTCCCCACCCACGGGACAGAATATGTCTTAGCGTTTCCGTTGGAAGTGTTTGAGGTTGAATATAACTGAACCACCTTATCCAATAAGGCATCGCCTCTAAAGGCCAGATTATACCCGATAAAATTAGATTAGGATAAAACGTGCCCAAGATCATCATGACTGCAGTATTTTCTTGGTGACATGTCGCTGAAACAACAAGACCTAAGAGATACATTTGAACAGAAAAGAGGAAAAAAAAGAGATAAATTAATTAAATCATAAAGAGTAAATTTAAACAATAATTAAAATAGGGAAAATCAAATGTAATCAAAAGTCATTATCTATTACTATTATAATTGTCAACAACGTTAATAGTTAATCCAAATCAAGTCAATCAGGTAAATTGTACACATAAAAAAAGTACCTACAAACTTTACTATCAAATCATATATACACACACACACTAAATCACAATTAATTAAAGTCAATTGTGTAAACATAACCTTCAATGACATCATTGCAAATGATTGGTATATAGTAGCTAACAATTGATAGTATTGTTAATTGAATTTGATTTATCACCATTTCTTAACAATACTAATTTACTTACAAACTACAGGTAACAATTTAAAAATTATATATTAGTGAAAGAAAAAAAAAACACCAACAATCATATTGAATTTTTTTTAACTCTGTTGATTTAACATCAACATGTTGATAGATTGACATTTTTTTCCTCCTTATTGATATTGTACTTTCACAATAATAATAGTAATCATTAGAATGATGATTTTTTGATAATCATTATAAGGAAGACGATGATAACTTACCGAAGGCCATACCGGTACAACCTTGCAGCAATAATAATACTATAACCCAACCAAACGGACCTCGTGAGGGAATATCAAAAACGAGGAAAGTAAATACTAGAACCAAAAGTATTTGTACAACCATGACAATGATTTGTGTCAACGCGTGTGCGATTAAAATTTGAAGTGTATCAACACCAGCGACTAATGACCTTTCAAAAAGTCCATCTCGTCTTTCCAGAATGAATGCAAGTGCGGTCAAACCTGTTGCCATAATGTAACTAATACTGACCACTACTCCCGGTGCCATATACTCAAGGTACCCTTGGTGTTTCAATTCACCATAAACTGGTTCTCCAAGCTGAAAATGATCGATAATTAATTCGGGAAACCATCAACAACAATCAGATTGGAATTTTTGATGAAAGATCATTTTGAGAGAGAGAGAGAGAGAGAATAGAAAGAGATGATTAGAGAAATTATCAAGGAAAAAGATTGTTTTTTAATCAGTGTCATTGTCATCAAGTTTTCTCTCTTCTAACTCTTTATTTTTCTTTTTTAATTTCTTGCAAGTAGTTAAATATTATTTCTCATTAGATTCAGGTTCTTATATTTTCCTTACACCATTATTATTATATTGACGGTGGAAAGTTACAATGAACAGGGAAAAATCCATAGATAAATATTTCTAATTGACTAACTCACTCATTCAATCATGATGATGATGATAATTTACTTGACTGTCTATTTTCCCTTAAGGGGAAGAGAAGAGAGAAAACTTGATGATGATGATGAGGAGGAAGAAAATTTTCTCTTCACAGTGTAAAGATTAAAATACTCACAGCGAGTGGAAATTCAGCTAAGGCGGGATTTCTTCCAGCATTGGTCAAGGCTTTTTTGGCAAATTCTTGGAACGCCTCTTTAAATGTACGCTCCATTGTGTAAGAAATTTGTTGATCTGTAAACAAAAAACACGCACAAAAAAATTAGTTAATCAATTGTTCATTAAAACAAATAATATTGTCACAATAATCCCTCGCTCTCTTATTCATTTTCACGTAATCGTTTCCATGTAAACAGGTAAGATTGTTGAGCTTTTGTTTGCATTAAAGTCTAAATAAATTTCAATCAAAAGATTAACAAGTGTCATCATCATTTCCATTGGATTAACATTTAAAAATCTTAAGTTATGAGGATTAAAAGATGGGAACAGGATTAAGGGAAGGACCTTGGAATCCAGAAAAAGGACTCAACTATGACCTTGTTTAGATCTTTCAATTCAACTCTTAAAGCTTCACGATCAACAATCTAGTCAAGTTCATCATTATCCATCAATCGAATACAATGAGAAAAGTTTGAGAAACAAAATTCTAAAGCTTAAGTAGCACACTTAACGATTTTACGTTTTTTTCTTCGTCTTCATCTTAATTTTTTCGCTTTCACTTTTTTTCGTCTTCCATTCAACTTAATATTTACTCTTTTTCACCTGATTTTCCTGTTTATCTTCTTCTCTTTCTTTACTTTCTCTTCTCACATCATCATCATTTCCATTGGATTAACATTTAAATCTTTAAGTGTCTCTGGTTGTATTTTTTGTCTCTTGATTGTAGGATTAAAAGATGGAATCAGGAACAGGATTAAGACCTTGGAATCCAGAAAAAGGACTCAACTCTGACCTTGTTTAGGTCTTTCAATTCAACTCTTAAAGCTTCATGATCAACAATCTAGTCAAGTTCATCATTATCCACCAATTGAATACAATGAGAAAAGTTTCAGAATAAAAAATAAATGTAATTCTACCGCTTAAGTAGCACAATTAACTTTTTTACGTCTTTTCTTCATCTTACTTTTCACTTTCTCTTTTTTTTTCGTCTTCCATTCAACTTAATATTTACTCTTTTCACCTGACTTTCCTGTTTATCTTCTCTTTCTTTACTTTCTTTTTACTTTTACATCATCATCATCATCATCCGTTCGTCAGACTTCACTTACTTGTTAAATCAGGGTAAACCTTGATTGTACTGTCCTCAATTGTTTTGTTGTCCACTTCCTCACCTCGAAGCATTCTGTTGATTAAGAGAGATAGAAAGAGATGAATTAATAAAAAATCAACAACCAGAAAGTGAAAGTTTATCAAATGATAACATTTAACATCATTATCAACATGTAATCAATTGAAATGTCAAATCATTTCATGTAAGAATTTCATTGTTCACTTTAAATTGATTAGTTGATTAGGTTAGCTGTTAATGATAATGATTAGATTGATCATCATCATAATGATACATCATTGTATTGATTGTGATCATTACAATGATATTTGAAGGTAAAAAGTAAAGGTAAAGGTAAAGATAAAGGTTAATTAGTGTCATTATGATGTTACCTTGCCAGTAGAGCTTGAGAAAACCTTTCCGGAATATGAAGGACACCCCACATTGACCCATTTCTGACCGCTTCTTTACCTTCATCCACCGAAGTGAAATTATGTTTGTCAACAATGTAAGGGTCAAGTTCAGCGAGAAAATCTCTTGAATATATTTGTCCAGTATCTTCATTGACCACTGCCAATGGAATGTTAAAAGGATCAGCACCAATACAAATACAGAAAAGAATAACCTGAATAGCGGGAAGAGCAAATTGGAACAATAGAACGGGAATATTTCGACGAAGACGAGTCATATTTTTCCAAAAAAGCGCCATTGTTGTTGACCAATATTCTCCAAAGGTCAAACTTTTAGCCTCATATTTTTTACCGCCATTCGCAATCATACCACCGCCTCCGGTACCATTTCCACATCTATTACCCTTAGTTGGAGCTGAAGGGAATGCGTTAATTTCTGGTTTAGGTGTTAAATTGTAATCTGAATAATCTGAATATATTGAAAACACCGAAGGAAACTAATCAACGGTGAGAGAGCAACAGTTTGAACGGTTCCGTTTCGAGATGGAGACGATTATTAATAGAGATAAAAAAAAGAAAATAAAAGGAACAAAAAAAGGGAAAAAGAAAAAGAAAAATTAATTTGTATGATTAGTTAATTATCTATGCCAATTAGACAAACTAATTTATTCATCAACACAATCACTTCCTATTTGGTTAATAATTTTATCTTAAATCATTTTCTCATCTCACTTTTTTTTTACACTTTTCCCTCAATTTGTTCATCATTGATACTAATACAACTTTTACTACTGTTAACTAATCATACTGTTAATTATAAACAATCGCGTTTAAATTGCCGCACATTCTGGTGACATGTAACCTGTTAACAGGAGATATCGTAGATTCGTATCACCTGATTGGGTGATTATCGTTAATACTTTCAAATAAATCGGTAAAAAACTGGTTAATCTGGTTTTCCACTTTCACTCTCCATCAACAACATCCGTCGTGAAAACATTTATCTTTTATATAACAACAAATTCAATTAAAATTAGGTTATTAGTGAAACAGATAATTAAGTCAACAATTAAGAAGCCGATGCAATAAAAATTGGTAAGAAATGATTAACCTGAACAATTAGAGATAAAAACAACAACAATGTCAATCGAAAAGGTTAAATGAAAAAAAAAACAAACCTTTGAATCCTTTTTGGTTGATTGAATTAACTCTGAAGTTATTGGAGGAGGAGCAGGAGGAAGAGGAAGAGGTTGATGATGTTGATTTGGGGTTAAAGTTGAAAGGTTAGTTGATGTCGTTGTTGTTGTGTTGTTGATTATCCTTTGACCTGTTGTATCGGCCATGCAAAGTTTAAGGAAAACCTCTTCAAGGGTCTCCATTTGATATTGTTGTAATAAAGATTCAGGTGAATCCTCGGCCAATAAGTGACCATGTCTCATAAGTCCGACAACATGGGCTTGTCGAGCCTCTTCAATGTAATGAGTAGTAATTATGATTGTTATTTTCTCGGCTTGAGTGAGAGTAACTAAATGTTGCCAAATTGATTGACGTAAAAGTGGATCAACACCAACCGTTGGTTCATCAAGAATTAACAATGGCGGTGAATGGACAAGAGCAGCGGCCAAGGAGACACGACGTTTCTGTCCACCGCTAAGATTGGCAACTAAACGTGATTTAGATGGTAAATCAAGAAATTTAATCAAAAATTCAATTCTCTCCCTTAAAATGGTTGAACTTAAACGGAACAATCGACCAAAGTAAATTAAAGTCTCCTCAATTGTAAAATCTTCGTAAACGGCAATTTCTTGGGGCATATATCCAATCGCTGGTCCAGGTATTTGACTTCCTGGTTCACCAGGACGAAAACCAAATATCCTAATTGATCCCGATGAAGGTGATAATCTTCCCACCACACACCTGAGTAAGGTGGTTTTACCACAACCACTTGGTCCAAGGAGACCATAAATTGATGCCTCGGGCACAGTTAAATCAATAGCCGATAGAATTGATTTGGCATTTTTACCACGACCATAGGAAAGACGCACTTTCCTCACTTCCACCGCGGGTACTAGATTTGAATTATATTCCACTCCACTTGGTGTTCCTCTGGGTTCACCTCCAGTTCTTAAGGTCACACCAGTTTTATCATTAACTTGTTGATATGAGCACAAAGTGACATTATTTTTGTCACAATCAAATGACATAATTAGCGAACTCTTTGTTTTCTATTCTCTTTATTAATCCGTTTATGGTATTGGTATTGTTACTTTTGTTCTTGAGTAAAAGTTGAAGGTTACACAAAGGGCAGAGAGAAAGACCGAGACACAGAGAGAAAGAGAGAGAGAGAAAGGATTAAAAGAGAAAGAAAGAAAAAAAATTCACAAGAGGAAAAAATTGTGATCAACTTAATGATGATCACGAAACTGATTGTTAATCAACTAACTACAAACAAACATCTAAATTGTGAATCGAAAAACTTTTTTCCTTATTCTTTAAGTAACATGTTAAGTTGGAAAAAGAGAGCCGATTCAGTGAGTCAGTCGATGTTCCAACGACGCAGCTCAAGCGGCGAGATTGTGTCGACTGAAAAGATCAACAACTCGATGGAAAAGTTTCTCTCGACTAGTGTCACCTGGAGGAGAAAATCATTACCACTTTTTGTTCTTTTCTCTTGGTAACCATGGAAACGACGAACATCAGCCAATCAGAGAAGAGAAAAGAAACTAAATTTTTCCTGGTAACGTTTCTTTCTTTTTAAATTAGGTTACATCTTTTCCCTCTCTCTTTTTCTTTATCCTTGGAATTGATTCTCTCTTGTTTTCTGTTGTTTGTTTTTTCTCGTTAATTTCTTGTTTTGGTTTATGGTTTTCTTTCTTAATTGTGACAATTTACTTTTCCATTGTTGTTTTATATTCAATTTGTTTCCTTCAACCAACCCAATTAATTAATTGTTTCTATTGAGAGGAATAATAATAATGGCGGTTAGACGGTCATTTGCTTCAGAGGAAGATGCTTTCGCTGTTTACTCTGAGTGTATGAAATTATCTGCTGCTGGTAAGATTAGTGTCAAAAATGCTTTTGGATTGAGACTTATTGATTATATGAGTCAATTAGCTCGTGGTAAACAGATTAATTTTAAACATATTGGATGTGCACTTGATGCTGGTGCTAAAATTTATGGGCATCGTGTTGATTGTGTCCAAGCAGAAGCTCAAAAGGTTGCTAAAGGTTAGTATCTTTTTGTTTTGGTATCTACTTTTCATCTATGCAATCTCTTTGTTTTGTTTCTCATCTTTTTTTTTAACTTGGTTATCTTAATTTTCTTTGGTTTTTTTCTTGTTATCAGATTTTATCATTCTAGTAGGTGATGGAGGTGGTCAAGCTGGAGATGATTTGGAAACAGATTTTGATGGTAAAGCAAATGATGGTGAAACTTTACCTAAAAGACGAAAGATTGAGCGGAAAAAGACAAAAACCATTTCAGCTGATATCTCAAGCTTGAATACAACCAAAGTTGAATCTAACCTTCCACCTGATCCTTTATTAGCACTTTTATCTTCGTTTGATGTTGGTAATGTTAATAGTCTTCTCATGTCAAATTTACCTTTAAATGATGATGGTCTATTGTTATTAAGCTCTGTTGAAATACCTTCAGTTGATTCAAAGGTTAACGATGTTGCATTAGATGGAACCACAATTGAAACATTATTGTCACAGAAACCATTTATTATTCCTAAATTATCTAAATTTGAATTTCTCAATCGTGGTGAGGAACTAGACTCTTCTATTTCAACAATGAGAGCTGGAACTCAACCAGATAAGTCAAGTTTCGCATTGGATGGTGTACATTCACTTTCTCAACCTTTTGAGGCTTCATTAGATGTTCCTCAAGATACTTGTGAAGATCAACATCATGATCCAGTTGACTTTTTTGATGATCATCATTCAATTGGATCCGATTACGACAATGAAACCGATCAAGTTAAAACTGAGAATAATAACAATTTACAACAATCTGTGGCTCATTATTCAATGCGTGCTGTGGATTCCGATGGTTTTGATAAATTAGTCAAAGCATTGTCAGATCAACCTTCCGATTATACATATTTCAATAAGGAACTGTTAGGAGTGTGGGCTGGCCCTGAACATTGGAAATTAAATCCTTTTGCAAAAAAGGGTTCAAAGCAAACTCAAGCTCAATCAGTGACAAGAAGTGCTCGAAAACCACGAAATCAATTCACCGAGATAGACTTTAGGCAAAAAATTCCAAATGAAACAGAAACCTCTAATACAACATTAAAAGTTCCGACGCTCTCTAAATGGACAGACAGATTATTACCAAGTGACATTTCGTATGAGCCCATGAAATTGATAAAACCTTTTCTTATTGAAGGAACAACCTTCAGTTTATTAAGAAGAAAAGGAATCGATCCTAATGGTGGATCACATTTTAACGATAATGACTCTGATGGAAGATCATCTCCTGGCTTGGATGCTGGAATGGATAATCACTATGACGATGAGTTCGCGCCAACTCAAGAATGTTTCGGAACCCAAGCTTATAATCATGATCTTGATAGTGGAACCTATGCACCATTTTCTGGAGATAATCTTGTTGACGAACCTTTTGCCGTTTCATCGACAGCATTACCTTTCTCGACCCACGCGAAAAAGATTGATGTTAAAAGGTTAAAACGAGAAATGTGGACAATAGTTACCAGTGATACTGTAAATAAATCTCAAAATAGTGAATCATCAAACCCATCTAATGACAATTCTTCTAGTGAAAACGTAAGCTCAGATTTCTTATATTGTCAAGTTTATTTCCCTATGAAATCTAATTACTAATTGATTTTTTGTCCTCATTATTTTCGCTCTTCTTTCCTATTTATAGAACCAAGAATCTGAAACAACCAACCCTGATAAAAATAATCAAGACAAACCTTTACCTTTCACCGAGGTGTACAAAATTTTACCAAGTAGAGTTGGAACATCGATGGCAAACAATCTCAGTGTGCCGATTGCATTTGTTGCTCTTTTACATTTAACCAACGAAAAGGTTTGTAATCCTGATCAATAATCCTGATATGATGATTCTTTTACCCCTAAATCATTGTGTAACAAAATCTTCAAAATAATTTACTAATTACAATTACTTTTTGACCCTTTTCTTTCATTTTAGAACCTTAAATTACAAGGGAAACCAGATTTATCGGATTTCTTTATTCAAACGGAGTCCATAACATGTTAATGTACAAAAAGTCACTCGTCTCATATTTTTGATAAAAAAATTATGAAATGATCTCGTCTACACAAATCATTTACAAATAATTAACACCCAATCCTCAACGTGTTCCTCTCATCAATCCTTTTTTATCAATTCATCCTTCATCTATACCAAGAAAAAAAATATAACAAATGTAAACACTTAAGACTCTTGCAGTTGTCAAGAAAAAAAAAACTTTCATCTATGAAAATCACTGGAAACAATTAAATCAATATTTTTGATAATCTAATGCAACAACTAAATAGAAACAAAAAAAAACATGTAAATCAAGAGTTGGTATTAGAAATGAATTTCAAAAAGGATTATCGGATTAAAGTCAACAGGCCAACGAACATCAGAAACATAAAGATGTAAATACAAACAAAAAGGACTAATCAAAATTATCCATAGAAATGATTATCAATTGTTGATAGAAGATCAAAAGTGTTTTAAATTGTAAACCAAACCAAATAATTAACTTGATTCCATAAGGTTCGTCATGAGATGATCTTAAATCGGATTAGCAATCAGTGAGAGAGAGATGAAATTAAAACTCTTGATTAATTGACCAGCAAGAACAGTTAACATGCTATTAAAAGATAATATCAATTAACACTAATTGCAACAATTTCACTAATGACAATGTTACTAAATTAACTAACTAATACTATTCATGATGCCAACAAATAACACTCATGAAAATATGAAATTAACCCAAAGTTTAATTTAAAATGAGCAAATCTACAAACGTAATCAAAGTTAATCAAAGTTAATCATTGTAAACTGGTTTACAATGATTAACATGATCTGATAAGAAACAAGTTAACTAATTAAATAACCATCTTCTCATAATCAACTAACAACAATTTAACTTCTGCTTATCGATGATGATGATAATATAATAACTTTATTCATGTTTATAAAATGAAATCCAATTAAATCAAGGGATTGATTGAATCACGCAATTACATATAGACATACACTCAACTAATCATAATCATCATCATCATCATCATGATTAAAGGGCTTGTTTATAATCATCAACATAATCATGATTAAACTATATATTTATATGGTACATTTAATGTTAATTAATAGGATAATCAAAGATTCCAGTAATGTTTAATCATGATAATAAGCTAATCAGTTAATCACTCTAATTGATTTTAAATTAATCCAGTAAAAAGTATAAAAAAAAGTCAAACTTTAAATTAGTAAACATGATTAGGGAAGATTTTAATTTCTCATATTATCTTAATATTGAACAATTAACTTTAATTGTTTAGATTGAAGTCTTTTTTTGTTGACTATTTTAACTTGGCTTTGGGTGGTCAAGACTAAATTCAACCAACAATTAACTGATTATGGTTACAATTAAAAACTGTCATGTTAATTTTGGGTTTTCTTTCAATCCATCAATTGAAAATCATTATTAATCCTTAATCATTGTCTTAATTGTTAACCTTGTTTCAAATTGTTTCTCGTCCTCAGTTAATCATTACGATTAAGGTTTTTGCTTTGTTCAAGTGAATCAAAATCAAATTTAATTGTTAGACTTATAAAACTGCTTGTTAAAAGCTCATTATATTAATGTGAGAATCATAATCAAGAGATAATTTAAATAATTATAATCAACGCGATAATAATAATCATCAACGTTGATTATAATCATTATCATCATCATTAAATTAATTTAATCATAATAATCAACGTTTTTTTTTCATCAGTCTCTTCCCTTTGTATTAATTAACATTTTGTATCATGATTAAGATTAAGTTTAACAATTAACTATGAATGATAATAATGATTAGTGAATTGTAATCATTATTGTTAAATTAATTGTTTCTTTTTTTTCTTGGAGTTGGTTAGTTAGTTGGTTAGTTAATTGTTTTTAATCACTAACTGTCAACTCTATCATTTAGAGTCTTTAATTGTCGTTTTGCTTTTTTTTTCTCAATCTTATTTAATTAATTAGTCTCTTCAATTCAATTAACTTTCGTCTAGTTAATTTAACTTTTTGTTTCGCTATCATTATTATCATGATTAACTTTAATTGTTATTCATAATCATCTCAATTGTTTTACTGCTCTTGGTGGTGGACAATTAATTATGATGATTAAACAATTGAAATCAAACAATTTGGTTTATTGTTTTGTATTTAAAAGCTTAAATTATGTTTTAACTTGATGATAACAATCAACAGTTGATTTAATTAACGATTGATAAATATACAATTTGAATTAACGTTAATTTAAAGTGTAAGTTTGCAGTTGAAACAATTAAATCAACAATTAATTGTTCACCATCATCATGATTAGTGAGTATGTGAAAATGATTATGATTGTTATTGAGAAAAGGAAGAAATAAAATTAATTAGAAACAATTAATTATCTTCCACTAATCTTAATCATTTGCTTAAATTCAATTCAATTAATTTGATTGTTGATTAAAATTTGTTTTATTAATTATAACAGTTAATTGTTAATTGTTAACTGGTTAAACTTTTTCTTGTTGGGAGTTAATTGTTTCACCATGAAAAATAATCAAAGTAAACAGATTTTGATCCAAATTCAATTAATTTAAATTAATAAACATCATTAATTATGATTATGATTAAAAATTAATCGGTAACAATTTGTAACTAATTTAATAATTAATTAACCATAACAAATCCTTTCACAAGAAGATGAAGAGAAAAAAATTAATTACAATTAAATTGATTGGTACATTAACCTTATCATTTATCATTAGAAGTTTAATTTTACTCTGTTAATTGTTGATCGTTAGATGATTAAGTTAATTATCTGAGAGAGAGAGAGGAAAGAGAAAAAAAAAAGTTCTAATGAGAAAAGAACAAAAAAAAATTCGAAAAAATTTACTAATTTCTTAGGTAAGAATTCAAGTTAATCAATTGATTTAGTTTTCTATACTCGTTAATTGTAGGTTATCAATAATATTAGTTACAATTGATTGTTGATAATTGTAAAGATAATCACAAGAAGCCAAGTACAATTATCATTGAAAATTAGATCAATTAAATCAATTCAATCTAATTACCAGGTAATAGCAAAAAATTTACTCCAAACGAAAACAATTGACTTAATTAGTTGATCTTTTTTTCTGTTACTCTTCAACAATCAAAGTTTAAATTGTCATTAAATTGTTAATTTATATCTAACCTGAAATAGTAAATCAACAATTTAACAATCACTATTAAGTTATTAATCATAATTACGATGTTAATTGTTTGACCTAAAACAAGAAGAGAAATTAAATTAAATCAGTAAAACCGAATCGATATCGAAAATAATTAAACCAACAATCAACTTAATAAATTACCAACGAGTAAATTTTACCAAAAAATAGCAAAAGTTTATATTGATTTTAATGGTTACAATATTTTCTCATAACAACAGGAAAAGTTAACAACAACAACAACAATTAAACTAATCAAGACAAATCATAATGAACCAAAGCTAATCAACTCATCTCCATCATCATCTTACCTTTTTAATCATCATCATCATCATCATCTTATCTTCATCATGTTCATGGTCAGAAGCCAATCCCATCAACATGATGAAGAAGAAAAAAACAAATCCAAGTAAAAGGTGTGCATATTCACGGTAATATTAAGGCCCATTTTCTTGGTGAAAAAGCCTCGTTATCATCCATTTTATCATCCTCATCATCACTATTAGATGATGATGAAGGAAGATAACAAGAAGATATGTAAGAATTATTATTCTTTTCTACTTTTCTCTCTCCAAGTCAACATTCTCATTAGTTGAGTTTAATGAGTTTACCTTGTTAACTTGATGATTGCTTGTCATCAGTTTCAACTCTTCCCCCTTTCATCCTCATCTTCCTCAACAGCATCACTCTTTCATCTCTCTCACTTACTCACTCACTCTCTCTTTCTCTCTCTCTCTCTCTAAGGGTTGGTATTACACCCGGATGTCTATTGATGATGAAAATAATGAAATAAAATGAACAACAAATGAAGATGAAGATGGAAAAAAATCATCTTTTTCTTTTCTCTCTCTCTCTCTATCGTGTGAAATACGATATATCAATTGAGGTGTGTTCATCATCATCATTTGTATCATCACCATCACTTTTATCATCTTATTAACCAACATCATTATCATCATCAGCTGTAACAATCAAACAAAACGTAACTTATTACAAATAATAACAAAATAAAACGGAAACTCCTTAAAATGAACAATTTATTATAACTTTAAGTAGCATCAGATTACAACAACAATCAAAAACTGATTGTTTATTATTATGATACAAATGATACATTGATCTTAATACAATTAAAATTCAATTTAATTTAATTTCTAAAATCACCAATTGGTAGACAATTAAATTTACTGGAGAAAACAACAATCAAATGATAACTTAATCAAAACGGTGAAACTTTTAAAAAAGTGATGATTTAATGATAATACAAAATAGTTTGTTAATCATTTGTTAAACTACAGAAAATCAGAATTGATTGTTAACCTCAAATACACAAATATAAATACACACACACACAGTTAATCAAATTGTCACAGTTTGTGATTGTGGTTAATTGAAAACAATTCAACGTAAAGGAAATACAACAATTTATAATCACAATCAAATGAACACAATAAAGTAAAGGTTAAATATCTGAATAGAGAGGATAAATATAAATATACAAAGTCAACAATCAGTTGATCACAATAAACATACACACACACACACACAATCAATAAATGAATGACAATCAATTTAAATTGTCAATTTTAACTTACTTATTATTAACGATCACCTATTGTCCAAAGAGTAAAAAGTTACCATAGACAAATACACATAAAAGATTGAACCACAATCCACTTAACTTGTTGGCTTTATTTTTATCATCATTTATCATCCCTCATCATCTTCATCATCATCATCATCTATTGTTACACCTAGAGACATACATACACATATAAATATCCAAACAACTTCATCCCTCCCTGTGTATTTATAAAAACCCACCTTCCAACCTCCTCCCTCTATGTTTATACTATGTAATATATGGTAACCTTTTCAATTGATTTCCAGTCAATGATTACAATCAATGGGAAGAAGATGATGATTATATTGAAGATGAAGATGATAATGATAAAGGAAAAGTGTCAAAACGTTAATTGTGAATAGACTAGTTAATTGTGTAAAGAATTAAATAAATGATCAACTTCCTTTCTCTCATTTTAATACAATACAAATCTCAACTTTACTCCATTCAAATGTTTACCTTTTTTTTTTCATTCATAACTTTTTTTTTACCTTTTCCACAGGTAAGAGGAAATCAAGGTGTTCCAATTGTGTTTAGTTGATTGTTACTTGCAACATATTGAGTGTTGATTATAATAAGAGGTTAATTTTAATCATAATCATAGTCAATTATTATAATATCAATGATATCAGTTGATTGTTACAACTTTTATTGTATACAAATTGTAACAATCAACAAATTTTCATGTTTCTTTATTTTCTTTATTTTCATCATTTCGTAAACATGATTAACTTAATTCAATTGATTCAGATGATTGTTAATTGTTTTGTTGTTATTTACACGATTTCAACAAAACAATCAATAGATTCATTTGATTTGTGGTTTCATTTCATCGTTGAAACAATTTAATATCTTTAGGTGATTATTGTTCATTTGGATTCATGATTATCGTTTTCTCTGATTTAATTTAGTCAGAAAATTAATTGTTAAGATGATCATGATTATATGATAATTGGTTTGAGAGAAAATTTCTCAGGTGAGAAGATTAAGATTAACAGAAAGATTAAGATTAAAGATAAAAAAATGATGATTAATGTGAAAAATTAGGAAAAATTAGAAAACCAGATTTACAGTAATTATGTTGTTCACAATTAATGAGATTATTTAATGAATCTAAATTGTGTTGATGGTTTATTAATGTTAATATATTAAATTGTTTACAATTTGGTAGTAACAATTTTCACCATTCAGAGGATTAACATTGACAAATCTCAACAATCAAATCGGACAATTAGTTGAATTGATTATCAGAATTGTTTTTTTGTTGGGAAATGAAGTTCAAGTTAACAATCAAATTTAACAGCAACAATTAAGGTTAGTAATCATTAATAATAGTAACAAAAAAATGGAGGAAAAAAATTCATTCATTAAAATTCATTATAAATCTCAGGTAACAACAAATGATTAAGATAATTATAATGATCAAGGAACAATTAACCTTTTTTTTGATGGTTAAACCAGTTAATTGGTACTATTGAGTGTTATTATCGTCATTAGGGATGATTATGATTATGATTTAATTGTTAATTATCACTAGACTTGAATGAACAGGTAATACATATGGGAAATTGATTTTTTCAGGTAAAAGGTAATAAAAAATGATGATAAACCTTAGGTGACACTTTCAATTATCACTCATCATCAACATGATCATTATAATCATCTTCCTCCTCCACTTAATCATAATCATCATTTAAAGGATGATAATGGTGAGAAAAAAAAAACTTTTCTTCTGATACTTTTTTTCATTCATCTAAATTTTTTGTCTCTTACGTTGTGTCTTTTAATTGTAATTACCTGTTGTTATTATTATTTAAATGATAACTTATGCAAATTAACCTGTAATTAGGGAAATTTTCAAATCACTCTACCATGAAAATGATAATGATTTTGGGCAAGAAAAATTTTCCTTCATCTTCCTCATCATCTTAACCCTTGCTCGCTTCCTTACCTGAGAGAGAAGGTGAGTTATCATCTCTCTCTCTCTCTCTCTCTCTCTCTTCCTTTCCTCTCATCATCCTTACCTGTCAAAAGAGAGAAAGGAAAGAAAGATGAAGATGACAATGTTGATGAAGATGGAGAGAAAGAGTTACTTGAGTAAACACTAAATTTTGTTTCATTTTTTCCTCTTTATCATCTTAGTTATCATCCTCATCCTCATTTTCATCCTCATCTTACCTGTTTAGTTATTAATCCTTGAGCCACAAGTTTAACACCATTACCCTTAACCAACCTTTACACTTGAACTCATTCATATACAGACACACACACACACAAGACAATAATATAACAATTAATCAGATTTTGTCTCTTTCCTTATCATGATTAACAATTAACTTCATCCTCTGATTATGATTAAATAGTAATTGAACCTTAACAATTTAACAATACATATGAATATCAATTATCCATAAATTGTAATAATTACACCGAGAAACTTTTCTTCCTCTCAAACAAATAATCAAATTGTTTGATTGTAATTGTAATCATTTTCCTCTCAATTATATACATTTTATTTAATTTGATTTGTTTGTATTATCATCATGATAATTATCATCTATTTAATTGCTAATTTAATTGTAAATTCAAATTGTTTCATGATGATAAATGAAATTTACAAAATTCACAATTAAACAAATATTACATGAAAAATGGGCTTGTGTCAATTGATTATAGTTAATTGTAACAATTATCAATCATATTAACTAATATCAATTTACACCTTAATTTTATGTGATTAGATTTTAATTGTAAGTGTATTTGTTACATTGATAACAACAATTAACCTGTCAATTAAGTCTTACTGGGTGTTGGTCATCTGTATTATAACTTTGTACAATTGTTACAATAATTATCACAATCAAGTTGATTAATTATCATTATATAATTAAGATCAGTTGATTGTAAATCCTGATATAATCAATAAATTTGAAACAATCAACAAACAACAATCAATCGTAATAATTTTTACTAACAATTATTACGATAAAGTGTCACCTTCACAATTAACTAATGACAAACAATTTGCTTTGTTCAATTTTGTCCAGTGATTATGATTAGCGTTTAATGAAACTTGATAATTTAACTCGTTAATTGTGAACAATTCAAATTGTGACAAAACTTTCACCTTAAATTGGAAACAATTTAGTTTATTATTTTCAATTTATCTACCACAATCTCATCATAATCATAATCATCACCATGTAACCATGATCATTAACAATTTAAGTTGATCACAATCAACGAGAAAAAAAAAGAGGAAAGATGAAAATGAAACAACAATTAAAACTTTTTTTCTTGTTACCTGATTGTAAAAAAAACTACAATTAGTTAACAATATATTTAGTTAGTTAGGAGGAGTTCAAACCTCCCACTCATCATCATCATCATCATCATCATCATCATGTTAATCATGACAATCAGTTAATGATGAATATTATTTAACAATGATTAAGCAACCATAACGATTGTCCATTAATAATGATAATCAAAGATTAACTTAAGTCAAGAAAAAAAAAAGTTAATCAAGATAAATAATGATCATTATGATTGTTAACCATGCTGTTAATTTAAAATGATTTAGTCTCATTATTACAAGTAATTAATAATAGTCCCTGTTAAGAATTAGAATCAATTTTCAATGACAGTGTTAATTGTCAAGGAAAAGTTTTCATGACAATTAGTATCACTGAGATCATTTAGTGACAATTGAAATGCTTTTTATATAATAAATTTTCAATTCACTTGCACTTTGATTGTTAGAGGTAAGTGGAGGTTACAGTTGACAAAATTAACTGATATTGATCAGTAAATTGTTTATCGTTGATTGTTTACCAAGTTAATAGTAAATGTAAATGATTAAAATATGAGTTATATGAATGGGTTCACATGTTTGATTGTCTTTTGCTGGGTGATAAATGAACTGTTTGAAAACTGATTATCTTGATTGCTTTTGGATACTAATAATGTTTGACTGTCATAATTAACTTTAATCATAATCATCATCATTTATTTTCTTGTAACTTGACAAGTTTTTTGTTAACCTTACAAACCTTTTTATATATAATAATAATATGATGATTCTTTGTTGTTATTTTGTCTTTCCTTTTCTACTTGCTACTTAACAATTAGTTAATCATTATTTCAATCAGTTAATTACTGTGTAATAAGATAAAAATGTTAAATATTAAAACAAGGAAAGGTAAGACAGATATTAGATGAATTAATTATTCTAGACAATTTACTGTCATCATCATTTAGGAGGTGAGGATTAATGAGTTTTGTTTCCAGCAATCAAGTTAACCATTTATTGAACCTAAAGATAGTAATGATAAGAAAAGTGGAAGAAAAAGTTTACAAAAAGAAACAAACAAACATAATCAACGTAAACAATTAACAATTTAAATTCAGGTCTCGATTTATCATTAACCATTATCATTGTTAATTTTTCTCTAATCAACTCATCTTAATATAAATATAACATGAGCTGTTCATCTACTCACCATGTTCGTTAGGCTTAAATCTGAGAAACCAAAAGACCCAAAGAGGTTAAATACTAGAGAGATTTGGACATTGCAAGTTCGAGGATATTCAAAGATATTTTCGAGCCAAAATCTGAAAAAGAAAAAAAAAGTTTACAATTAGTAAGTTGAATCGTTGTGAGAGATAATCAATAAGATGAATGATTTCAATTAATCTTATAAATAAAATAATTATACCAAATTAATTGTTACTATGATATAATGTAATTCTAAACTGATTAAAGGTATATTTATATTCATCAGTGTAATTTTCACTCTATTGTTGCTCATTACTATTTATTAGCATGATTATTATCTGATGATGATGATAATCATTAATAGTTAGTTATTTTTTTTTAGTTACAACAAAAAATCAGGTTTGTTGTTGTTTGTTTTCTGATTATTAATAATAACGTTGATTATACTTATCAACGTTATTATACAGGAAAATGATAAAGTGTTATTAGGGGTTGATGTTGGTTGATTATCATCACATTAAAAGCAAATTAATGTATATGATTTGTGATACAAGTGGCAATGGGTTTTTCGTGCTTACCTTGGTGCCGATATTGGCACCAACTTCAATCTTGTTTAAAGGTAAGACCAGAAAATCATTTAAAATTTAAAAGCATCATCAGTGAGTGAGTGAGATTAGGGGAGAAAGATAGATGGAGAGAGAGAGAGAGAGTGAGTGAGATTATTACAGGTATATATAAGTGGAGGAAGGAGGTTACATGATATTAATGATGATGATTGTTTTAAGATAATTAAACATATGGTGAAGGAGAAAAAGGTAAGAGGGAGTGAGAAGATAAGATGAAGATAAAAATTAATATGAATAGAAAACAAATCACGATATTTTCTAGCTCCTTTTTCCTAGGGATGAGGATGAAAGTTGATGAGAGATACTCATTTGAATGTTTGGTGTGTAAACTTCACCTCTCTCTCCTGTTAATCATTTTCTCTTTCTATTAATTTATCTTCTCTTTCTCGTTTTTCAATAATCATCATCATCTCAATGTCCGTTAATTGTGCATAAGCCATCTGCCTTGTGCTTTGATGATGATGATGATGTTGATTCCTACTATCATCTCTATCTTCATTTAATTGTTTCTCCTTTTCATTTTGTCTGCAAAAGACTAATGAGTAACTCTAATTATGACAAAATCTTTGAAATGAGCTCCTCCCAAGTAAAATTGTTTCCTGTCACATTCAAGCTTCTTTATTTGTTTCATCTTCTCTTCCTTCTCCTTCTTTAAAGTTCCAACGATCCAAGGGCACTTGTTTTACGTTTGTTACACCAAGAACAAATTCTTTCCAATTCTGTAGAAAAATAAAATTCATTGGAAAAAAGAAACAGAAACAAATATATATTAATATTGAGAAAATATTCATGTAGAGTAGTAGTAACATATTGGTTCAAGTATTTTCTTTTCCTTTTTCTTTTTCTCTTTGGTGGTTTTGCTTTAAAGAATCACTGATTTTCTGAGAGAGAGAGAGAGAGAGAGAGAGAGAGAATCATAACATCATGAAAAAGAAAACAGAAAATTCTTCAACATGAGAAGAACATGTTACTTTTAACATGACACACGATGATTCAATTTAACTTATATAAAAAAAAGAAGAAAATTAAATACTATAAATTAACCTTTTCCACTTTGCGATTTTGTCTCAAACTGACAACTGATTATTATCATGGTATCACTGATGATTATCTAACCATTATTAGTACACATTATAAATATTTATTATCTTTATATCTATGGTTACATAGAGTAATAAATAAATTATATTTATATGATATTAATTATAATTGGAAAAAAAATGATTAAGAAAAAATTAAAACTACTTTACCTTGATATTTATTTACTGTGAATCCAAGTGACACTTGGGTGTGGTTAACTTTTTGAATGTAACTCATTTAGAGTTAGTTAATGGCCTTTCCTTAATCACAATCTTACCTGAGAGAGTAAACATCTAATATATATACAGATAAATATATATGTTGGAATAAAATTTCACTTTAAATTTGATTGTGTAGTTAATTAATTAATGTTTGACTTGTCGTATCTTTGGTTTCACTTGGTTCTCCTTTATCACTTCCTCCTCTCTCTTTAAATATATCATTTAATTACCTTTGGTTCCAAGTCTCAACCTTTTCTCCTTTTCTTTGATTAATTAAAACGGGTATAAATCAAATTGTTAATTGGACTGACAACACTTCGTCAATTTAATAATTTGATGTGTTCCACTAATGAACAAATTTAACCGGAAAAAGGTTAGGCCTAAGCTTTTTAATTCCTTTACAACCAGTGAGAGATTTTGAAAGTGTCACTAAAAGAGAGAAGAACAAAAAAATCACTAATTAGAATAGAAAAGAAGACATTTTCTTTTTTATTCGCTCAAAAGAATTTCAATTGACAAGATACTCACATACTCACAAATTGGTCCAACAATTAGAGAGAAATTAAGATTAATTGGTGATTAAAATTAAAAGAAAATGCGAACAATCAAAGCACAAAGAAAATTTAATTTGATTCCTTTTCTAATCAACGGTTATGCTTTTTTCTATTCTACCAGCTGATTTTTTATTCTTTTTTATGCTTTTTTGTTCTGTTCTTTTCTAAAAAGCATAAAATTAACTCGCCATTGGATGAGGTCGATTGTTTTTCTAATTGAATTGTTTCAAAATTAATAATTTCTTATTGTAATTGATTTTTTGTTTTCGATGTTAATTAATTAATTTAATTTCTTTCAAATTGTGTTGGTCATTTTTTCATCCTCTTTGTTTGATTTGTTTGGCTCGAATCTCTAACCTATGGGGTTAACCTTTTTAGAGTTTCTCTCTCTCTATGAGTGAGTGTGTAAATTATTACCATCAAATTGAATCTCAACATGATTTAGTTAATTGTAAGTAAATATTTATCGATATAAAACAATATAAATCTTTATTTCAACCTTTTCATGGCATGTTACATATATTGTATTCATGGAAAAAGAATTTATCTTTCACCATTTTGCTTTTTTTCTTTTAATTTCCATTCTCTCTTCTTCAATTATTGATAGTATATAGGAAATCCAATGGTACCTTCTTTTGACATTCTCTTTGGTTTTTACTCTTAATGGCTGATGGAGGAAGAGAGAGGGAGAGAGTTAATCATTTACCTTGTTTTCTTAATTGTGACATGAAGGCGATTTGTTAGGTACACATTTATTTAATTTACTGATTCTACATGGAGAAAGAGAGACAACAAGCCGAGAAGAAAAGGGGAAAAATTATCAAGATTGAGGTGCCAAGTCACTAAACCGTAATCGTTTAAGTATAAAGGTATAAGTAATATTAAGTATCTTCTATTTTTCTTCTACCTGATTATTAATTACCTTTTTTACCTTTTTTACCTTTTTATCCATTCCTATCCCTCTTCGCTCTCTATGTGTATATTTTAACTATGATACAGCTTCTTTTTAACGCCTTCACCTTCACCTTTGCGTTTGTTTGTGTTTAACACGCAATCCAAAATCTACAAATAACATGATATTATGTATTCTTCAACCAAGGTTAGCATTTCCATTTTGACCCAACCTTTAACTCTTCTTCACAAATCCTGAAAGAGAGAGAGAAATGATTAATGGTAATTAATTAACTAACTAACATCATTATCATTACCATTATTTGCTTAAACAATTTCTTACACTGTCACTAACCCTTACAATCCCAAAAAACAGCCACAAGTAAAAAAAGTAACATCTCCAAACCAAAATCCGCCAACCTCTGATTCTGAGCACCAACCACCACGACCAAGAACAATCCCTCCATCCTCACTAACCCTTTGACATAGTATTATTATTCTTGATGATTATCATCCTAAACCATTTTAGAAAATCTCTCTCTCTCTCTCTCTCTCTCTCTCTCTCTCTTGATCCTCCTTCGCTAACTAATCAAATTATTATCGATGATAAAACCAACAACAATAATGATGGTGATGATGATTCTATTATGATATATTTATTTAACCATCTAACCATTTTATTATAATCATCATAATCACAATACAATTTAACGCGTATCAAACACGCTAATCAATTGATACACATCTAAATTAAATTAACAATCATTTTTTTTTCTTGTGTTGTTATTGAAGATGATAGTTAGTATTATTATTATATAGAGAGTAAAAGCAAATAGCTAATCCAAATAACAATAACACTTCCAACTAACAATAATAATGCTTCTGTTGATAATAATAAAAAATTATCTTCAAGCGGAGGAATCAAAAGCCTCTTGAAAAAATAACCTTCCAATACAATACCCTCCATATAAACCATAGGTTTACTCTCTCTCTCTCTCTCTCTCTCTCTCTCTCTCTCTCTCTCTCTCTCTCTCTCTCTCTCTCTCTCTCTCTATTTATCAATATTTACATTGACAGTGTTACACTTTAATCGGTTTAAATGGGTCAACACAATTGATTATTATGATAATGTTATTATTATTTTCTATTCTTTCAAAATTCATAACAGGCTTGGAACAATTATCATTCTCTCTCCCTCATTCGCTCACTGGTTCCAATACAAACCTTATGGTAACACCAACGATGATAACGATGACAAGTCAAAGGCCAAAGGATGAAGGCGAAACTAAATTGATCTCCTCTGCCCCTCTAAGCCTCAATCAAAATCTGGTAAAGATTATCACATTATCTCATTGTTATCGTTGATTATTATTATTGGATAATCAGCGTAACAAACAACAACAATCAAACATTCAAGTGGTTCATTTGCATTATAAGGATGTTTAAAACCGACAACGTGCTGACTACGTTTGAACAGTTATAAGATCGGAAAAAGAGCAGCGGCAAAAAAAAGAGGTTTTCATTTAGAAAGAGGAAAATAAAACACTCGCTAGGTACAGATCACTTCTCATCCGGTTCGATATAAAGTAACATTATTATCTTATTATGATTCTATCGTCGTCAAGCTTACTATGTACAACAATAGGAACAGACAATAATGTTACATCTTTATATTGATCTATATTACAATCTATCTAATCATTTTTTCATCTCCTCTTCTTTTTCCCTTTCTTCTTAATCCAACACGAGGAATAATTTAAATCCAATTGACTGGACTGTGTTATATTTACTTTTATCCAATACACGATCAACAACAGCAACGACCGACAACGATGGTGACGAGGATTGTCACAACGGAATCATGAACCATTGTGACCTTACAATATCTTATCAACATCTTTATCTAGTATTATTATTATCACCATTTACTATTATTGACACGGTTACAATTAACTATTACACATTTAAATGTAAAGCCTCAAATGAGCTTACATTTTGTGCACTTAGGGATATACACCATAGACTATTATTGAATGAAAGAGAGAGAGAGAGAGAGAGAAAAGATGATGGAAAATGGTTCAAATGAATAGTAATAATAATAATCATTAAAATGATGAAGAGAAATCAAGAATTGAATAGTAACAATATAACTGAGATACATATAAACACACAGAAATGAATCAACTAGATAATGGTAATAATAATATAACTATTAACTTGTAACCAAACAATAATAGTAATAACAAATTGTATCAAATTTACTTGCATCTTTTCCCCTTCCTCCTCCTCTTTCTCAATCTCCATCTCCGTCTTCATTTCCCTCTTCCTCTTCATCTTTATCATCATCATCTTCTTCCTCCTCCTCCTCCTCCTATTTGATTCTTGTGACCAGAAAATAATGTGATATTTATTTTTTTTGTTGCTACAACAATCAAACAATTGACATTATTATTTTCTGATTACTTTGATTAACTAAATCACATTTTCAATACTTTCCACTCCTCCTTCAATTTCCCCACTTCCACCTTCACCATCACCTTGATTGTGACCAATTTTAAATCATCTTCATTCCCAATCAAAATTAATCCAATCTCATCAATCTAATCATTTATTCATTAACTTAACTTTTCACGCTTTCCACTTATACTCATAATCATGATACAAAAAGTTATACTTATTATCATATTTATCATATTTATTATCATTATCCTTGATTACCATTAATATTATAATCATAATAATCAACATAATCAATTGATTACACCAGAATCATTTACTTGATTTCTGCGCAAGCCTATGGGAAAATAAATTGTTAATAGTATCAAAGCAATCAACCTATATCAAGGATAATTATAGTTCAAATTGTGATGAAATGATCAATAAATTGTATTAAAAGTGATCACAATTAATTGAACGAAAATTAATATCATCACTTGATAACCTTGAACTTGTTTCGATGTTAATATTTCCAATTTGATGTTTTAATTGCTGGACAATTAATTGTTGTTCACTTTTCTACTTCTCTCCATCTTTTACCTTTTTCCTTTTTGATAACAATCAATTGATTGTGATCAATTGTTGATTAACTTGATTCCCTTTGCCATTCATCTTATTTCCTCCACTGATTTTCAATGTTATCAATTATTTGCATCATTTTAATTGTTGTATAAACACAATTAAGATGATTATCTGAATAATGATGATCATAACCATTGTTAATGTTAATTGTAGGCTGATTTAGGATAACATTGAAAAAAAGTAAGTTAATTGAATTTGTTTTTTTTTAATTTGATTACTTTCAGGATCATTTAACTTAAATCAGATTATGTCAAGATATTTATTATTTGTGATATAATTTATCTTTGAATTTTAATTGCTTAATCAGCATCCTATTATATATTATGTATAAATGTATTGATAAGCAATCATTTTGATATTTTTTTCAACAATTAACTCAACAAAACAAACAATTAACTTTGGTGCTTTTCAGTTAATTAACATTAAATTGCAAAGTAAACGGTTTCCTTTAAACCAAAAACCAACTGAAAATCAATCAATTTAATTTTTTTTGATTTGTTTCATATTACTGATTAACTAATGTAAAATATTGTTTGTTTAATTGTTCCACAATTAATTCACTTAATTAACCACAAAATTAACAACACAACAGTAAACAATTTAATTCAGTTATAGAAAACAAATATTATAAGGAAAAGAAAACAAAAAATTAACAAAACAACTTTTTGATTAGATATTAGAACTTAACTAACTGATAATTAATTGCAACAATTAAACAACTCATGCTTCTAACAATTAAACAACAAAAAAAAGTCTAATGATTAGATGATAATGTTTTAATTGCAATTAGGTGTGGTTGCTAAATTGTTTGTTTCAATTTTTAGATCTGCAAACAATTAGCATTACAATATAATTTTTCATTTGCTTCTGTTAATTATATTGAATGAACAATTTAATAATAATGATTATCACAATATAATCACTTGATTGTAATTAGCATTATCATTAATTATGATTGCAAACAAACAAAAAGGCCAAAATTAATTGTTTCTGATTGTTTCAAGTTTATTTATCCCTTTGTAATTTATAATTGTTATATATTATCCGGTTGATTATGATTAACAAAACACTGATCATTATGATTATCATGATGATAATTAGTTTTTGCTGTTAATCATCACAATTCACGATTTATTAACCAATTACCATTTAACTAACTTAAATTGTCTCATCAATTGTTGTTGTTATTTTCAAAGAGTTAAATTAAATTGTTTGTTTATGTTTTTTTTTCACAGCAAACAATTAATGTTAATCAACTAATACAAAAGCAAAAACTTTTTTGATTAAATCACGATTTTGAACCCAATTTAATTTGATTGTTTAACCAGTTTTCCTCTGATCACTTGTTAGTTGATTGTTTTTTTTTTACTTTAATTGTTTTCTATTAACTGTTAACTAATCGTTAATCATTGGTCAACAATTAACTTTTTTTTCAATTCTGTAGTTTTAATTTCATATATTTAAATAGATAATCAAACAATTTACTGATTCACTTTTTTCCACTCCTATTAGTTAACCAAATTAACTCCACTAATTTGATATTCATAAGTGTTTCGTTTAATTTACTTAATTTGTTTTCTACTTCAAGGATAATCACCATCATCATCTTAATTATTATGATGATTAACTTGATTATAATCATAATTATTGTGTAGTTAGTTAAATATCTTCACGTAATTTTCAATTGCAATCAATAAAATTTTGTTTTATTGATTTTCATTAACTTTTTTTTTTATTGTTGTTTGTATTTCAATTTGTTTTAATCATTTAAACTAATCAACTGATTGATTACTACAATTAACAGTGATGATCAAGTTGATTATGTTCACTACGTGAGACTAATCATTTTAGTTTTTTTCTTAATCCATGTTTAATTGTTGTTGTTGTTGTTTAATTTTCCCCGAAACAATTTAGGTTAATCATGTTTACATTTAAAAGATTTACTGATTAGCGATTTAAACTTAAATTTCTTGATTTAGTTAGTTGATTAGCTATTAAAGGTGTTGATTAAATTGTTGATCTAACTGATTATTATTATTATTATTATTATGAGTGGATAGTTAATCATGTTAATTAATTGAGTTAACGAGTTTTTTTTACCTTTTTTTTAATTGTTGAGTTACAACAATTGGAATCATGATTCTTGTTTTCTTTACCATTCCAACGGATTTAATTGTTTCTCGTTAATTATGTTTCATGTTGATTAACAGGTTTGCTTTTTATTTTTGATTGTTTAATTTAGTTTTTCTCAACTCATTTAACAATTAACTTTAATTCTGATATTAACCACAAATCATTTTGAAATGGTTTCAATTAATATCATTTGATGATGAAAGTTTTGATTAACAAAACAATCAAGTTAAATGTTTTGTCTGTTTAACCAAATGATCATTTAATTGGTTAGGAAAAACAAAATTGTAGCAATTAGATTAAATTTTGAATGAGAAAAAAATTACTAAATTAACGTTAAAAGGGTTGAAACAATTAACTTAAAGGTTAAAATGATTATGAGAACAATTAAAAATCAATTGAAGTGACAAGAAAATTATTAAAACAAGAATGACTGATTAACTAAATTAGATTAAAGTTGATTAAGTTTATGATGATGATGAATTGAAATAATTAAATGAAGGAGCAATTTGAACAATAATTGAAAACAATTTGCTCAACTAAATCAACGGAAACTAAATTAAGTGAGAGACATTGATTTAGTTAATGATTAGTGTTCAATGGAGCCTTGAATGAGAGTTTGCTGTTGTTTTTACAGGAAATTATTTCTTCAAGCAATTTATATCATCTTGAAATAGAGATGATGATGATGATGAGGATGAAGATTATGAGGATGATAAGGATGATGATGAGGATGAAGACCTTCCCAAACTAATTGGAAACTCTGATCTCTCTGAAAAATCAACATGAAAAAGATCCTATTGTTAATAAATCAAGTTCCTCTTTCTTAATCATCTTCTTACTAGAAGATGATGAAGATAAGTTTGAAGATGATTGTGATGATGATGATGATAATCTTGCCTTAGGCTATGCAGTGAGCCAGTGAGTAAAATTATTCAAGAGAGAGAGAGAGTCAGAGAAAATTGGAGAGAAAAGAAAAAGAAAAAAGTTCTAACTCAATATCGACAATTGAATAAATTATATTCCAACTTGAGAAAACTTTTGTTTACCGATTTAATTGATTGATTAGATTTTAAATGATCGCCATTGTTGATTTAGAAAACTTTGTTTTTCTTTCAATTAATTTTTCTTTTTAATTGTTATTAATTGTTGATAATTAAACATCACACTCACAACTATTTAAGTATATTTATAATATGTATATATGATTTATATATAAATTATTGTATTAATTTAATGGCATTAAAGTTAATTGTTAAGTTGATGATTAAGTTGATGATGATGATGATGAAGATTTTGATGATGTTGATGATTAACCATTGATTTTAAGCCAGTTAATTGTAGTCGAGGTTTTAATCATCTTCATCACAATTTGTTGAAACTACAAAATTGTTTTCTTTTCACAGTAATTGAAAGTAATTAAAACACAATTAGATTACTTTGTAATCAGAATTAATTAAATTATTAATTGTTTTAAGTTCATCTTGCCTTCGATGATGAGGATGATGATGGCAATGGAAGATAATTAGGATGATGAGATCTCGAATTTTTATTTTGTTCTAAAATCGATTGTTCTTATTGATTCCTTTCGATTTTATTTTCCATCAACGGTGATGATGATGATGATGATGAGATGATAGAGGAAGTTGATGATGATCATGGTGATGATTGGATGATGATAGTTTGGTGGGTGGTGATGATGATCCATATCCATTGGACATTTCGATCTCAGTGTCATCGTCTTCATCACCTTCGGACATACACTCACTCTCATCGGGCTCTCCTCGTTTACCGGAACCGGAAACTTGATAAGTTCCATCATCTTCTTCCTGTTTTTGTCTCTTCTGTTTTGTCCTACGATTTTGGAACCAAACTTTTACCTAATTAAATTGAAAGAGACGAAGAAGAAAAAAAATTACCACAATTAAATTAATTAATTTTAACTTTTAATTTTCTTCTCCAACTAATTAACTTAAACAATTGTTTTTCTTTCCCTTTTTAACCTTCAAAATTTTCATCACTTTTTAATTGTCCAATTAACTATCCAATCAATATACAAATAGAGATATTAGTTAATTATCTCACCAACTTGATTAACAATTAACTTGATTTAATACCTTTGTTATACTTTGATTAATACGTTTAATTGTTTTATAAGGTGAAAAAAAGTAATTTAACTTTTTGCTACAACAATTAATTAACATGTTAATCATTTGTATTTAGGTTCATACGATAAATGTATTAATTTGTTTACTTTTTTTAATTAACGTTTTGCTGATGAGTTTTAAATTGTTTCGATTAAGATGATAAGTGGGTGTTTAAGGATTAAACTGGATTAATTTAGTTAATTGTAATTTAGGTTAATTACCTGAGTTTCACCGAGATTTAATTTTTTGGCAAGTTCTTTCCTCTCATTACCAATAACGTAATTATTTTTATCGAAGGCTCTTTCCAGTTCCATTAATTGTGACGGACTAAAAGCAGTTCGAACCCGCTTCGGTTTCCGGAAGTATGGAGTGAAAAATGGATTTGCTATTGGTAGGAAAGGATGACCTGAGAGGTGAGGGTGTTGGTGGGGTCAGGGAGAAGAAGATGAATGTTAATATGATTGGTCAGTTTTGAGATTTTTCCTTGAGAAACGATCAATGGATAAATGGTCAGTTTGGTTGACTTACCTGGTTGAAAAGGTCGTCCGGTTAAATGTGGTGGTACTTGACTTGGACCATTGGCTAGAGGATGATGATAAAGTGGATGGTGTGGATGATGGTGGGGATGATGAGGATGAACACCTAAGCGTAACATTGAATCAAAATCGGTTATGTAATGTTGATACAAATGAGCTAAATGTAGTTTATCAAAATGCTGTTGGTTTGATTTAGCATCTCCTAAACTTCCGGGTGGTGTTGGTGTTGGTGTTGTTGGTCCTGATTGTTGTTGGTGTTGTTGGTGTTGTTGGTGTTGTTGCTTTATCATGTTAGGGTGGATTGGATGACCATCACCTCCAAATGATGATGATGATGATCTTAGGGAGAGGGCAGTTGTTGCTGATGAGGATGAGGTTGAGGTGGAGGTTGATGAGGTTGAATTAGCTATTGAAAAATTAGTTGTTGATGAAGATGAGGTTGAGCCTGTTGTTGGTGTTGTTGTTGATGATGATATTGGTGGAGGTGTTGATGATCTTGATCTTGATCTCGACTGTTGTTGTTGTTGTTGTTGTTGAGGTAAATTGTGATGATTTAAATGATTGAGGTGGTGATGAAGGTGATGTTGGTGGGGATGATGGTGATTAATTAAATTAACACTTTCACCAGTTGAATTTAATTCAGTTTTAATTGTTGTTGGTGATCCAATTGAAATGGGACTTGAATTACTGTTACGTGATTTAATATTACCATTGGTTAATCTTGGTAAATCATCTAAATTGTTGTTGTTATTGTTGTTGTTGTTTATTAAATTGTTGGCTGTTAATTTCATTGACACTGGTGATCCTGGTGAGGGTGAGGTTGTTATCGGTGATGGTGGTGGTGAGGTTGTTGTTGGTGTTACCGGTGGCGGTGGTGACATTTTATCATCTTCATCATCATCACATTGATCCATATGATTTGTTGATAAACTTTTGCTAATTGTTGTTGATAAATTTTCCTTTGATTTAGAAATAGTTAATAAATTGCTTATGCTAAATGATAATTTATTATTGTTTTTCCCATTGGTTGTTGAATTAATGTTATTATTATGATGATGATGATTAAGGTGATTAACATGATTGTTGTGGTGATTAAGGTGATGGTGAAGTGGCTGATGGTTATCATTAAGATGATTAGTTGATTCAGTTATTGATGAGGGACTTGATCGGTTTGAACTTAAACTATCCTCGGGTCTATCCTCCATCATGATTAACTTAATTGTTTGAGGTGATGATGATGATCACACTTATGGCAAATTAGGGTTACAAAAACAGCAAACAATTTAATCTGGATTAAGACAGATAATTAAACAATTAAACAGATGAACAGATAATAATTTAACACATTTAACTTATTTTGATAATAATGATCACACAATCAATTTAATTGGTGTTGTTGTTGTTGTTGTTGTTTCTCATTGCAATTTGATATTGAAAACTTATTAAAAAATCAAAGTTGATTTAATTAATTGTTTGTGGTGGTGTTAATTGTTGTTGACTTTAGATAAATAAATTAACTAAATAGTTGATTGTTGATTGATAATCAAATTGAAACTTTTTTTCTGTTCAATTGTTGATTTGTTAGTTTGTATTCCTTAAGGTTATGTACAAATGATAAACACTCTGTACACATACACAACACATACTGATGAAGATGAAGATGATGATGATGATGATGGAAAAGAGAGAGAGAGATGATAAATTTTCTTCTCTCTCTTCTTTATCATCCTAAGGACATCCCAATAATCATCATAACTCCTCCTATTATAAGGTTTTCATTCAGATGAATTTGGTTCCTCCTCTTGTAGTGGGTTAGGCTAAAAGGCTAACAGAAAAAAAGAAAGAGAAAAAGAAAGAGAAAAGGGGATAAAATTGGAAGATGATGATGATGATGATGAAAAAGTTCTAAAGAGAAAACATTTTTCAATCGAATCTTGTAAACTTTTTGTTCTACTCTCGAATTAACTTGAATTCGTATGTACAGTTTTCGTTGCTAAGCAATCAAAGGATCTCAAGTACAGAACTCTAAAGTCTAATCATTAATCCAATAGAAACACAACAATTAACTAAATTAGTGGAAATATTAAATAACTTGGATATTTAGTATTAGAGCAAAGAAGAAGAAGAAAGAAAAAAGTTCTAAACTCGAAATTCACAATTGATTAAAGATCACAATCGATCAATAGTCAATCTTGTCAATTGGTGTGACATTTAAACGGAATTAAATTGAATGACAATCAGTGAGGAGAAAAATGTTAAAATTAATGATTAAAATTCCATTGAGAAGAATTGAAATAATAATAATGTTGATATTAATTCTTGATTGTGATTATGATTAAGGTTTACAATTTAATCGTCTTATAACACGATTTATCCCTTTTCCTAAATCATCAGCAATCAAGTTTTAATCACAATCAAATGTTAATAAAAAGTTATCACCTTTTGGAAAATTATGAAAGACAAATCAATTTAATTTAATGTTAATAAACAACAATATCAGTTAATCATTTTGATGATAATCAAATGAAATGAAAAGATTGTTGTTGCTTTCATGATAATCAACTGAATAATTTTATCCTTGAATCATGAATCTGAACTTAACACTTCACAGCTTGATAATAACATTTGATCATTATGATTAAAACAGATTCAATTATATTATTATTATTAAAAGGTAACAATCAAATCAACAATCAAATCAACAATCAACTTTTTTCTTGTTAATAATAATCTGATATTCATATACATAAATATTATCCCAACCATCAAAATCAAATTAACTGATTAATCTTGTTACTGGTTGAATAAAAAAAAAAGGTTATGAACAAATCATCATGATGATTAACTGATTATCATGAGAAAAAATTGAATTTAAATTTGATTGTTTGAAGACAATTTAATATTAAATTGTCAAGAAACAAAATTGATTATCTATCACAATTAAACTTTTATTATATATAAGATAAACATTAAGCACACACTTTAATCAGTGTTAATTGTTGATTAGTAATTAGGAAAGATAATTAACCAATGCACTTAACTGTTGGGTGATAATTAAGCTTTGTTTGTTGTTGTTACTTTTATTGATTCCAATTAAAAGTAATTAAATTGTTTAATTGAAGGTGAATCAACAATTAAGAGGCACCAAGACAATTGTTTACATTGGAAAATAGTTAATTGTTGGTGATCAAAGTAACATAATTAACTGATTACTTTTATTATTATTTTTAAAAGCTAATCATTATCATGATAATCAGTTAATCATTAGCAACTAAAAGATTAACGATTAACCTTTGACCTGTAATCTGTTAAGGGTTAACAGGTTAATTGAAGTTAATACACAAAGTGAACAGAAAAATGAAAAAAAAAGTTTCAAATAACAAGACAAACAATTAACTGATTATAGTGGTTGATGAGATTACAAGTTAATCAATGAATTAATTAGCAGTAATTAACAATTAAAATGATAAACTTTAATTCAAGCAAAAGTGATAACAATCAAGCAACAATACAATATTAATCAATGTAAATTCAAGGTTAAATTGTGAGAATAATTAAAAACAAATCCAAATAAATGGCTAATTAACTATTAGTTGGTTGATTTTTTTGCTAATTTTTGTTGTATTACAACAATTTAAAAACTTCTCGTTAGTTAGTTAATTGTTTTACTTAATAAGTGTAGGAAAAACAAATTGGTTTGAAGAAACGTTGTCTCCCTGTCAGAGTAAAATGATTACGATCAGTGATTAACTAACTAATTTTAAGTTGATTAGTTAATTTTTAAGATTATCGTTCATCTTAAATCAGTGAAACATTTTTTTCTTGGAAACAATTTCTCAATGCCCACTGGTCATCTTCCTCCTCCTCCTCCACTCACTTGTAACTGACCCTAAGAGTTTGTAAGGTGATATATCAACATAAGTAATGGAAGATGAGAAAGAAAAAGAAAGAATATTTTTCTTGGAAGATTTTCCCTTTCATCTCTCTCTCTCTCTCTCTCTCTCTCTCTCTCTCTCTCTCTCTCTCTCTCCTTATCATCTTTATCTCTTTTTGTGTCACCACGCACTGACCATAACTGACCATTAACACCAGGAGTCCAAACCTCAATCATGAACAGAGAGAGAGAGAGAGAGAGAGAGAGAGAGAGAGAGAGAGAGAGAGAGAGAAAAGTCAATCAGTCAACTGATAACATTTATAAACTTACCTGTGTGTCCACTTAGTTGATTGTTATCATTAATTGATAATAATTAATTGTTATCCTACTGACCAACAAAGTCTATTGTTAAATGATTTTGATTGATTGTAATTAACACGATTGATTGTCAAATGATTTTAAGATCAACAGTATTGATAGAAAAGGAAGAAAAATTTTTCTCTCTTTTCTATTCACAAAGTAAACTCAACTTCCAATGAATCGAATCAGAATTTAGAACCAGAACTTTTTGCTCTTCTTAATCTTCTTCTAAAATCATTCTTACAATATCATAAATCACAATCAAAAAAAAAATTCTCATCTTTAACTTAATTAGTTGAATTTCTAATCTCAAATATGGTCTTCAATTGAAATATATGTAAATTCATTGATAGAGAGGGAGTGAGAGAAATGATGTTCAATGATCCGAATAACTTTAATGGATGATGAAGATGAAGATGAGGAAAAGGCTTCATCATCATCTTCCTTGTCTTCTTCATCCCTTAATCTCATCCATAAGGATTAATGTTTATCCATAATGATAACATTTCCCTTGAGTAGTTTAAGTCTAAGTACTTTCATTTTGATTGGATTTTCATCTTATCCTTATAGTATATTGGATATCCTTTCACTCCCACATTACCTCCTCCTCTTTATCATCATCATCATCATCATCATCATCACCACCATCACCATTATCAACCTTGATACTAACAATCAAATTATCACCAATAATAATATTACAATTGATTGTCACCAACAGTTTAAACTAACAAGATTACAAGGGCTCCATTGAGATTCATTGAGGTTACAATCATTTACCGTTATCATTGTGATTGTTATACTTTCAAGAAATCACCAATGAAGATAATGATGATGATAGATAAATCATTATTTAAATAAAAGCATCCTCATCATTATTATCATCATCATGAGAACCCCTTGAATATAAATAAGCAACTTTACTCTGGTCATTTTTTTTTACCGTTTTTCGGGTTCACTTTGATTGTTTATTGGTCACTTTTGACTAATAATAATGATAATGTTACACAATAGCTTTTGATAGTAATCAAATATTTTAAACAATTTAAATAATAACTATTGACCATGAATGATAATGATCCTTATCAAATCCCATCAGAGTTGTAAAAATAGATCAACAAAAACGGAACCGGTAGTTGTGTTTACTTTTTTTTTGTTAATATTAGCATCCTCATCATCTTAAGGGTGTGGTTGATGTTGAATTATTGGTTAACCACAAGAGATTAACAATTAGATTTACCAGTTTAAATTGTAATCAGATTAGTATCAGTTTCATGTTAATCATCATCTTTGTTAAGATGAGGATTACAAAAAACACTCACTCACTCAGGACAAATTAAGGTGGACAAGGTAACATGATGTTAATTGTCAATGATTAGCCAATTTAATTTGATGCCTCAGGTTAATTGTCCAAGTGTAACATCAACACGAGTAATTTTTTTTTGTTTTTGTTGACTCTTAATTTTGTTAATTGTTAATGAAGTTGCTGATTGTTGTTATTTTTGTTGTTGCAATTTTGTGTTTTTGTTTTGCTGCTACCTCGTTGTGCTTGGTTAATTGTTTGCTGTTAAATATCAATTTACCTGAGTGATCAGAGTGTTTAAGATTAACAATTAACTATTCAGTGTAACCAAGTCAAGTTTAGAGGGTTAAACAATAATACAACAACTGAAAGCAAATTAAATTGATTGTGTTGCTATTAAATTAACTGCTGGTACAATGATAATGATTAAGATGATGATGGTTAATGATAATAATCAGTTACCTTTACAGGTAAATAGTATATAATATAAATACTACAATTAGATAAATAATAATAATAAAATATATATAAACTCGCGTTTGAATAATTTTGTGTATAACAATTAGTTAGGAAAATGTGGTTAATTATGTTAATTATTAATCCATTTTCCGGTCATCAATTATGTCCAATGTTAAGGTAATAATAATGCTAAAGAATTAACCTTAATCATGATGTTCATAAATTCAGTTGAACGATAATCACGAGATGGAATAAGAAATCCTTTTGTTTTATTTTCCTTTTAACATCAACACAATTAATAAAATAATTTATTATTATTTCCAAGTAATTGTTAGTTAACTAATCAATGTAATCAATAATAACAATTAACCATCTATTCAGTTGAATTGTAATTGTAAATGATTTAGTTGACTTTTGGTGTTTTATCAATGAAACTTTTCCCATTTCGTTACAACGAAATATATATTTTATTATTAGTTATCTAGTTTATTAGATACATGAGATTTTTGTTGATTCTCATCGATGATTATTAATTGATGATGATGATGATGATGATTAGAGATGATAATTGTAGGATAATAAACGAGTAAAATATTGTAAAAGTTTAATTGACTGGGACATTGAGAATGATAGTTAATCAATGGTAACGGCGATGTTGATTCAAAAGGAGCGATAGAATTGAAAATTCAAACGGTTCGTTGCAATTGAAGATTTCGTTAGTTAATGATTATGTTGATTACGATGAAGATGATTAAGATAATGATAAACGTGTTAAACCATCTTATTGGTCATAATTTGTTTTAGTCACGCAAATATCATCTTCATTTTGAGAAGATGATAATATACTGAGAGAGAGAGAGAGAGAGAGAAAGAGCCAAAAAAGACAAAGATTCCTACAGGTAAATAGTCACTTCCTTTTCCTATCGTTTTCAGGTTGATCATCATCATCAACGAAATCAACACGACACTTGACACTTTAGCAAATATCTTTTACCTGGACTTGAATTTTATAATACAAAGTTAATGGTATTATAATATTATCATTATGAGAGGAGAAAAACAAAATTAGTGTCTCTCTTTAAATTAACTAATAACAATTAGCCAACAATTAACATTTTCTGTTCAATTTGCCAAGACAAAATTAGATGAACATGTTAATTGTATCACTCTGTAGCTTAATTGTCAACTTAAAACCTATTTGCTTCACTAATCATCACACAGGGTGTCTCATTGTAGTGATTTAGTTAATCAGTTAATTTCACACAATGATGAAGATTGCATGTAACATAAATGATTCATTTTGACGCTATTCTGATTATTCATCATCATCTTACTTGTATTTTTGCAAAGACAATGATGATGATGATGATGATATCAATTATGTTTTGTTTTGTTGCTTAATTGTTGTTGCCAATAATAATCACTTGATGATGTTAATGATTTAAAGGTAAATGATTATATTTTGTGACTCTCTTTTAAGTTTTTTTAGATATTTTAATTGTCAACACAATTAGCCCTCAATTGTAAATGGTAACGATACAATCATCTAAATGATGATCATCATCATCGTCGTAATCATCATTGTAATTAAATGTTCATTACCAGTAGTGAAAAGCTTAATCATCAACCAACGATTAACATTAATTATGATTAAAATTGATTGTGACGAGATTAACTTTACCTTGCTACAGTTTCCATCAACCTTTTAATTACCTGTTATTTAAAAATGTTGATTTGATTTTCAATTTGATTTGATTCAGTTGATGAAATTTTCTCCATTCCAAATTACTTGTAATCTAATCACGGTGACAATTTAATTTCTCACCAACAAAAATTAAATCATCAGGTAGTAACAATCATCATCATCATCATCATGATAACAATTATCGTTAAAACAATCAGATTACTAATTATGATTAAGTTAATTTTGCTTTTCTTATGATGTCTTTGAGCAACTGAATTAATTGTTAGCTTACAACTAACAGAAAACTAAACTAAAAGTTAACAATTTAAATCATTGTTAAAATGATATTTGATATGGTCGTTGATGTTGATTGCGTGAGGATTAACAATGACAATTTAAAGTAACAACAATTAACTGGAAGCCAAAATAAAAAAAAAACGGGTTAACAATCAAGATTAAAGATAATGATTAATAACAATAATCTTATGTTGATGTGAACCCAAAAATGATTTGCATCAGTTAAAATTGGAAAGAAATCAGAAAATTAAGCAACAATTAAGATTAATAATCAATGATTTATCCACCATGATAATCAATTGAGAAGCTAATTAACAAATCACAAATCACAAATCATCATAATCTATTAAATAATTAAACTGGCAAAACTTTTATTACAATTCTTATAATAATTTCATGTAATCGCCGCTTAGGAAGCTAATTAGTTAGCTAATTAATTAAGCCATTTTTTCTCGCTAATCACTTTCAGTTAATCAATGTGCAGGTAAATATGAGTGTGTGTGTGTGTGTGTGTGCTTAAGGGATTAACTTGGCTCGTGGGAATCAACGTGTCACCTACGTGCCAACGAGTCAAACACGCACTAGAATTTGAATGTTACTTTGGTTCATGGAATTGAAAACTTTTTGTCTGAAACATTTTTTTTTTGTGAATTATCTTAATTCATTACGATTATGATGATGATTAGAAATTAAATGATTACATTCAACATTTAATTAACTAATTCATTTACATTTTTCCAGTTATAACTCTTAAATTGTTGTTGATTATAATCATTAACATTGCGTTTTTAATGTTTGTTGCAGCAAAAAAAACATAAACACTCATGATATTATTATTATAAGGTTAACGTTTTGATTTATTTGAGCTTAATTGTTGTTGTTTTATTATCGTCTCTCTTTATAATTGTCTGAACAATTTAAATCATTATCATGATTATAACACAGTTAAAGAGCTATTAAAACTTTGTATTAGGCTAGGAGCAAATAATTAGACAGACTAATTAGTTTTAATTTCTTAATTTAGTTCATATTTTCTGTCTGTTACATTTAATGTGATTTCCCTTAATTTGATTGTTGTGATTACCGTTTGGAAGATAATTAATTGTTGATAATCATTATCATTATCATCTGTTAAACGTTGTGATTGTAATTGGTCAGTAATTATGTTGATTGTTTGTTAAATTCCTGTTAAATTGTGTTAATCAAATCGTAATCAATTGTATTGTTGTTGTTGTTATTGGTCCTTAATTGTTGTTGATGATAAATATTGATGATGATTTAAGAAATAGAAATCAATTTAAATGGAAATTTTTTTTTCTCAATTGGCTAACAATCAATTTCATCTGGAAGCCTTGAAGATGATGATGATTAGGATTAGGATGATAATCAATATTGCACATATTGTATTATATTGGGCGTGTAAATTATGAATATTAATCGAGTCAACAATTAAGATAATTAATGGTTAACTTTAACTAATATAGGGCAATAAATCATAATAGTCTATTATTAATCTAGTTATAGGTGGCTCGCTGATCAATGTCCAGTGTGTGTGTGTGTGTGTGACCAGTGTCTGAGTGTGTAATGGGGAGTGGGGAGGGTGGGACAGTGGTGGTGGTGGATCAGACTAAAGGTGGAGTTGTTAAGAGTAACAGAGAGGGAAAATATTCCTTGGTGGAAAAAATAAGAAAGAGAAAAATTTGAGTTTTTTTGCTTGAGCTTCTTTTTGTTGTTGTTTTTGAGATGATGAAGATGAGGATGAGGATGAGAATGAGAATGAGAGAGAGAGGAAAGTGAGTGAGTCTCAAGGAGTTTGATTGATTACAGTTTAACTTGCTTCTAAATTATAATGATTTTTGAAGTTAATTAACTTACAATCAACATCGTTTATTATTCAAATTAGACTGATCCAATGATTATCAGTAATTATTTATATCACTACAGGAGACTTGAAACAAACCATTGACACCCTCTGGTCATTTCTTACTTGACCTTAACTTCAATAGATTTTGAAACAAAGAGGAGAGAGAGAGAGAGAGAGAGAGAGAGAGAGAGAGAGAGAGATGAGTTTACTGAGAATGATGATAAGGAAGAGAGAGAACTTTTTTTTTCGATTCCGATGAATTTCATCTTTAATCATTTGGGGTTTTTTCTTTGTATTTTGATTGATTGAATTTAATTGTTTCAATTAGTTGATCTAATTGATTATAAATTGATTAATTCTTTTATTTGATTATTTTTCTTTCAAATTAATTACCATGATTAAGGTGATTTTTATCAATTTATGGAAACAAAATGTTTGTTTATGTCAATGAACTTGACCATTGGTCAATGGTAATAATTTGATTTTCTAATTAAATGTTTACTTTTTATTCAATAACAAAGAGAAACTTTTATCATCATTAACTATCATCTTTACTCATCTCCTCCTACTTTCCTTTCATCATCTTCATCCATCTTGACCTGTCAATCTTCAAAAACTCCTCCCCCTTTGGTCACTTTATCTTCATCATCATCATCATCATTTCTACTTTATGTTTCTTTTATTTTTTTCCTTCATTCATTCATCTTCCTTGTTCATTTTAATGGTCACTCATTGATTTATTCATTGAAGAAAAAGAAAACGCCAAATGACCAATGGGTCAAGATACAAATGAAATACGAAATGACCACAAATTCAATATATTATGTAATCTAAATATCTAATCAATGAATACTTAAAGGTGGACAAGAGCTGATGATGTAGGAGGAGGGAGAGAAATGACCACACCTTGGAAAAGAAGAAAAATTTCATTTGTCTAACCTTTTTTCTTAGTTCGAATTTGTTATTTTCTCTTCCTCTCCCTCTCTCTCTCTCTCTCATATCTTCATCAGCGGGATACTAATTGGAGAAGAAAAATGATGACTAATTAAAGATATAAGCTCATTAAAGGTCAGCTTGTGGTCAGAACTCTGTGTGACCAGGTAACCTCATGATCATCAAATCATTTGACTTTTCTGTTCATTGACACTCCCAATGAGAAAACTATTTGTTTACCTTATCCATTTCACCCCCTCTTTCCTAATCATCTTTATCATCATTAATAAATTAGTTACTATTTTTTAATTGGATAATTGATTTAAACTCGCAAATTAATAAAACATCAATTTGTTTATCTTCTTAATCTTTTACCTTCCAAAAGAAATTGATCTCAATCAGATATTCATCTTAATTTTATTTAATCAATGAGAAAATAACTGATTAATCAAATGAGAGATTATAGAATAGATTTAGATTTTGATTCTCTTTCTCAAAATCGATAATTAAGTTAATCAGCTGATTTTATTTTCCATTTCATTTAATATCGTTGGATTAACTCTTCATTTGGATTAATCATTTTCGGTTTTTTTTTCTAAATCAATTTTTCCTTAATTTCTTCGCCAATTCGAGTCATTAACTTAAATTGTCTCTTCCTTTTCCAGTTAATTGTGATTTTCTAATCTTTTCCTCTTGATAACAGTAAATTAAATCTCCTCTGTTATTAATTAAGTTTCTAATCCAAAGAAAATCAAATGACCACCAGTGATGGACAAGATGAATCTCCACTAAAGTACAAACCATTCAATTGAAATTGTGACAATTCCGATTCTCATTTGTGACCTTAGTTGACAAGGTTAATCAAGGTCGATCTATTTAATCCGTTATTGCAATCTGGAGATTAAAATTGAATCCCAACAATCAGCTGATTCTGATTAATCCAATTTACTCAATTGAGCCAACCACCAAACCAAAACAACGTAATTATAACACTAACACAAGGATATTACTCAACAATTATCCCCACACTAATCTCATCTCACTAATCCTTTAATATTGTTGTCATCTTAATCCTTTAATTCAAAATGGCCTCTTTTCCTCTTCCTTCATCAGTTCATCAATGTAACTTTTTGACCAATGTTCATATCAATGGACAATTTGTTAATTATGAATATTCATCTGACCATCTCATTGAAATATCATATAATTTAATTGTCAAACTTTGTTTCTCTTGTTTTGTCCGTTAATCTAATTGTATTTGTAATTAAATTTACAGTTAATGAGTATCACCTTTAAGTTAATCATTGGATTGATTATATATTTAAATGTCATAATCAATTATAATTGTTAATTGTTACCAGATTGTTTTCGAGACAAATGGTTTTCCCTAATATTTAATTATAATCATTGAACAAGAGAGACAAAAAATAATTGATATTCAATGATCATCTTTATCATTATGATTACAATTTAACCTTAATTAAGTCTTGATTGTTGATAAACAAAAGTAAAAATAACAACTAATTAACATGATGAATTAATTACAATGTTAATTATATTAGTATCATCATTAGAATCATTAAAATTGTAATTGAGTAATATTTTTTTCTCTCTCTCTCTCTTTCCTCTCAATCAATGATTTCTAATATGCCCGGAGGGTTAAAACTTTGTTTTGTTTTCCCACTCCCACTTTTCCTATTTTAATACAGTTGCATACGGAAGTGGGTGGCAAGGTAACCTATCTAGTGGTCATCCTTTCATGACTCATTTTAATTGACTGGTTGTTGTTGTTGTTGTCGTCGTCGTCTGGACTGGGACGATAAAGCTACGATTAAGACGTCTCTCTTGTGACAAAACAAGAGACTGGACATTGTCCAGAAAGTAGGAGGGAAATAGACACACAAGAATAAGAGACTCTTGTGTCCAGTTTCTCAGTGGTTGGTGTATAAAAATAAAGGTACGGAAACAATTACGATGACCAGGTCTCTCTCTCTCTCTCTTACCTGTTGTGGTCATAATCAAATAACAAAAGATAAAACCTTTTAAATACCTTGTGGGTCACTATTAATACTTGGAAAACATTATAACAAAGGATTGACCATAAGATGACCACTAAGACGCTGATTATGATTATGATGATGATGATGAACATTAATCATGATACATTATAGCAAAACCATTTTCATTCAATTTTCTCTTTCTCTCTAATGTTTCAATTCAAAACCAATACGATAAGTGGGAGGAGGAGGAAGAGGAGGAGTTGATGATGATTAAGATGACCATTGGACTTTATTACTTTCATTTGTTGTCCAGTTCTTACAGATAATGTTGATAAAAGGTAAGTTATTCATATTATTTACTCCCTTTTGTTACTGATACCTGATGACCATTATTGTTGCTCTTGTTGTTGTTGTTGTTGTTGTTTATCAATGGTTACGATTATTATTACCTGAGATTGACCCCTAAGGATCATTGGAACTTTTTTTCCTCTTCTCTCTCTTATTGTCCACTTCAGATTGATCAATAACACCGATGATAACAGAATAGTTAACGAGGAAAAGATGAACCTTTTTACTTTTTTTCGGGTTATTCCTTTTTCTTTCTTCATCATTATCATCATGTTGACCAAAAACAGTTCATCATCTACTCATCATTGAACTTGAATAAAAAGAGACACAAAAGGTTTGGTCAACTCTTTAACACTGACCAATGATCGGTAAATGTTAATAGTCAATAGTTTACGAGATTGAAACGTTTTCATTGTCAATTGTGTCTCAACTCTAGTTTATCTGATTCTCAAAATCATTTAAAATTTGACTGACCAATGGTCAGTCAAGAATATTATTCAATTCCTATGAGAAATACATCTAAAGACAATTTGATGATCATAATGATGACCAATGGTCAATACTTATGGGTATATAATAGTATAGATGGATAGAGATATTTAAGATTGGAAAAAATTTTAAACAGAAAAAAATCTCTGCTAATTAGTTGATTGATTAATCGGGGAGGAGAGCAAGTTATCAATTAACTAATACAATAAATAGGTTAAAAATTTTAAAACTTTGGGCGGGGTTTTGTTTATCATCATCATCATCATAACAAGTTAACCACAACTGACCACAGGTAAACATGATGATGATAATAATATGGTTTATAATTGCGTTTCAAATCAATTGCTAATGGTTATAATTGAGCTAAAACCGTGAAATATGATGATGATGATGATGAAGGGGAGGATGATAAAGATGAGGATGAAGATGAAGATGATGATAAGGGAGGTAAAACTAATTTGTTTCTTTTCATCATGTTCATGTTTTCATCCTCTTTTCTGTATATAACTAACCTCAAATGTACTCATAGATTATTAATGATACAATATAATAAATAGTAGAACCATGAAAATTGTTATTATTACATTGTAAATATTAATTGTTTAGTTAGTTGATTAGTTAGTTAATTTTTCTCCTTACCAATTGATTAACAATTTACAAAGCGTGACAATCAAGTTGATCAACATTGTTACACCAATGGTTAGAAAAAGGTAAATATTATTACATTGAGAAAAAGAATTGGAAAACTTTAGTGATAACTTTTTGAAGAGAAGAAAATTTTTCAATTCTTTTTCAAGAATTTCTTTCTCTCTCTCTCTCTCATCTTCTCCTTGTATGAAAGGTAAATAACAGATGATGATGATGCTGTTGATGATAAGGAGGATGATAATGATGATATTCACAGCATGATGTTATAATATCTTCGTTGCTTTGTTATATTATCTTCGTATAAGGTGTTACTGTGAAACTTTTTCATTGTTAGAACTTTTTTTTTCTTCTATTCGATGGATTTGTTTTCTTCTTCTTTGCATCATCCCCTTATCATCATCATCATCATCATCATTATTATTATGGTTATCTTAATCTTGTTTGACCTTCTGCAATTTCCTATTGATTGTAACCTCACGAATTTGATCAAAAAATCAAATCATCGAGTTGATGATCACCGTGGAAATGAGATTAACTTTTGACAACAACTTGTAACTTTTTTCTTTTCGTGCTTATTTGTTTATCTTACCTTTTCTCTCTCACACTGACCACTCCCTTGATGGTGATGATGATGATGATTATATGATGATGATAATGAGCAAGAAACAATCTGCATCTAGACAGATGATTAACTCCAACCGATCAGGTTAATTGTTAGAAGATAATTAGTTGATTGGGATGTTTTTTTTTCCAATTTTAACTTTATCAATTTCCTTCTGTCGCTATCACAATCAATTCATATCAATTAATCAGTTAATTTCTGTTACTTGTTGATGCAATTAAACCTCTTTAATTAATAATTTACGCTACGTGTTAATAAGTAAATTAGCTAATTAATTTGAACGAGTTAACAGCTAATCATTTAGTCATCAATTATCATCAATTTAGATTATTTTTTTTATCAATCAATTACATTGGTCTTTATTTATATTAATATTTATTGTTATGACCATCAGCTGATCACGATAACAAGGGTCAGTTAATTTAATTTAGATTAAAATTATTACCTCACTTTTTTGTTGTTATTATTATTTATCATTTGAATAACAATTAACTAGAGTTAAAATGATTGAATTGAATTCAAGTCAAGATGAAAATGATAATAGTAATTCAATTGTTGTAAATTGTTAACGCTACAAAAGGGAATCAAAAGTATACTCATTGATTACAATGGTTTCCATTGATTAGGTTTATTTGATATTAAGAACTGAAAATTAGCTTAACTATTGTGTCAATGTATTGACCTTATTCAAGTAGTTTGTTGATATGAAAGCATCATCATCATCATCCCCTTATCATCCTCATCAATATAATAATCATAATAATCGAGCTATGGTTACAATACAATTGAAAGAAAAGGAAGTTAGAAAAAAAAGAAAGAGAATAAAAATTATTGTTATTGAATATCTTCATCATCATTCACAAAAAGAGCAGTTATATTTACCTATATCCTCATCCTCATCATCATCATCTCCATCTTCATCTTCATCTTCATCAAAAGCCACTCCAAAAGTGACTGTTTATCATTAGAAGAAAAAAATCTTTGAAATTTCCTTTTGAAATCTCTCTCTATTGACGACTCACTCTATCATCCTCTCTCTCTCTCTCTCTCTTTCATCTTAACAATGATGATAATAACATATGAATATAATATGATTATTGAATGAGAATCAATTGCATGTAAACCAAACAACAAACACTTAAAACCCACCGAGGAATCAGTTCCACCCTCTATGTCTCTGGTCCGTATGAGGGACAATAATATGTACTACAGACAGGAGTGACAAAGATGATAAACTTATCTTCCTCATCTTCCTCATCTTCATCATCTCTTTGAAAAATGTTGCTCTTTTTTTCCCATTCATATCCATTGTTACCCATTGACAAAAGGTGACAAACTAAAAGTAGTCACAAATTATACTATAAACTGTCATCCTCATCATCATCATCATCATCTATTGGATATTAACTTGATTACAACTTGATTAACTTGTTAACAATTAACTCATTTATAACAATCAACAAGAGATTGAGCAAAAATAATAATATATTAACTTTTTTTCTGTTAATTTGATTGTTTTAACTTTATGATTATCTCATTATTATTAATAAATATTATGATTAAGTAATCATCTTAATAATGATTGTTATTAAGTTTACAATAATCATCATCCAATTAAATTGTGCTCAGGTAATTATTTCATCTCATGATTAATAAGCTGATATCACAATTAGATTGATTGGCATTTTGTTTACCTTTTTGATGATGATTAATTTTAATTGTTTACATTATTTTCTGATTGTGATTTTATTTTTATATATACTAATTCATGATACTATTTAAATTCATGCTGTTAAATAATTTATTTAATATCATTCAAATGTCAAATTGTTCAAATAAATTAACAATCAATTATTATCATTGAAATTGAAACACCCAAAGTATCACCTTAACAATTAAGAATCACAATCAGTGAGATTATGTTAATCACAATTAACCAACCTACACACAGAATTAATAATATAACAATCATTAAATTATCAAATTATCAACCAAACCTTAACCATCATCATCATCACTATCATCATAATCAACTTAATCATCCTCATCATCACGAACCATAATGATGATGATTTAATGATAATCATGACAATTTAAGTTGAAATTATTAATTCACAATAAGCAAAAAAGTGATGATAACAATCAGATTATCTGACCAATTAATTGACCACTATCACCGCCACCACCAAGAGGATAATCAATGAGATATAAATGATCAACTAAATTAATAACAACCTTTAATTGTTAGCCAACAATCAACTAACTATGGGTATGAAATTAAATGAACCATTTAAATTGTTTCCTCGGAAACAATTCCCAGTTAAAGAGATGAAACAATTTAATTAGATATTTAAACTGGTTGAAACAATAAAACTAACCAACAATTAACAAATTGTGAAACTTTTTCCCTCCTAATCATCAAGGATGATTGTTAATAACAATAATTTAACCAGTAACAAAATTAAAGGTAAAAACAGAAAATCAAATTAAAAGTTAACAATCAAAATTAATCACAAATGAAAAAAAAGGTTCATGATCATTAATAACTCACAAAGGTAATTAGTTAACAAGCGAAACCAAACCAAATAGTAATCAACTGTTAACAATGAATTCAATGAATCAACTTAAATCATAATGATTAACATGAGAGTGTATATAACAAACAATTAACTATATTATTATTAAAACAACAACAATTTACAGAGGAATCAGCAAAAAAAAAGTCATAACAATATGAACAAAATTTTACAGAGGAAAAAAGTTTCATCGGAAAACTGAACTCACCTTAATTTATGTTTTTAACCTTTGACACGGCTCGTGATTAGATTTGATTTTAGAAACTAATTAACTAATTCACATACACACTCACACACAAATTGTGACCTCGAATTTATATATAAATATTTTCTCCTATGCTCTTTTCCACCGGTGGGTTTACCCTTGAAATTATGTAACTCTAATTATCTTAACCCCCTTTCAATTTGTTCATATCCTATTTATCACCTTCATGGTTTATTAATAGATTAACCTAAAGAAATAGTAACAATCAAATCCATTATTAAATTGTGCTGATCTAATCCTCAATAATTGATTGACCCTTCGAACAAGTAAATTGTAACAATCAACAACAATCAATTGTTTCACTTTGATTGTTCATCTCTAAACTTTCTTGACCTTCAACTCGAGAGGAAACTTTGAAAGTTTTATCAAGTTTTTTGATTTTGTTCTCGAATTTGTTTGGAAAAAAGTTCTAACCGATTTTTTGTTTCGTTAATCACTAATTAATACAATTGGAATTGATCTTTGATGGTTTTCATTTGATTATCTTTCTTGTTGGTTGAATTGGTTAATTGTTATCAAAATTATTGGTTCGTTTATATTGATTAGTGTGTAACCTGAATTGATTTTTGAATAATTTTTTTTAATTACTGTTAATCGGCTAAATTGTTAATTATTGTTGTTGTGAATTGATTAAAACAAACAAACACTCAAGCTGATTAATTAAGATTATCTTGTTGATTAATTAAAATTGTATTTCTTTTTGTAATTTTGCTTTTTCTTCTTAAACAATTAACATAATGATTAACAATTGGCTCTTGATTAACACCCACTCAACTTAACAATATAAGTATATTATCATGATGATAATCATAATCATGAATAATCATCATGTTTTTAGTGGTGATAAAATTGTTAATTGTTATCAGTTAACGAAACAATTTAATCATGTTAATCATGAACTCGTTAAATGTTTCTTTCATTTTCAGTTTCAACCAATTTCATGAGGCGTTGAATAGCACCTAAGGGTTGGTCCTATTGACGCTTTTCATCATCATCATCATCTCCATCCTCATCTTCATCTTCATCTTCATCCTCATCATTATTATCTTCTCAAGATGTAACTAAAACTCATGAATTTTAAGTTTATCATCCTAGTTAATTAAATGTTGGATAAAAGTTTGGGATGATCAAGTCAGGGAGGTTGAAAATGATGATGATGATGAGTGTAAATAGGAGGAGGATTAAAAGGAGGAGATTAACAATCTGAAATGATTAGTCCAACTTGATTCCTTAACCAGATCAATAGATTAGATATAACAGAGAAAAAAGTGAGCTCGAATGTTTAACTTAAATTGGTTATAAAAAAAGGGGGGAAAAGATGCAAAAACCGGAAACGGAAATGATGCTCAAAAAAGTAGAGAAAAAGTAGAAGAAAAAAAAATGAAAAATGAAAACCCAAATAAAACTAGTTAACAAGTGATTTCATCATCACCTGTTTGTGTCTGTTAATCAGTGATTAGTTAATTAATCTCAAATTAATTAGATTTGAAAATGAGGAGAAAAAAAATGATGAAAAAAAGTAAATAAATAAAGAGGCTTGGATTTCATTCATCTTCCTTATTCAAACATGGATATAAATATAATCAATTTACCTGTTTACCTTTCATCAATAGCTAAGATTATATTCAAAGTTACCTTTAATCATCCTCATCATCTTGATTATCATCATCATCCCTTTTAACAAAACAAACAAACACCAAGGTTGATTGAAATTGTAATGTTTGTTTTAATAGGTTTCATCAGTTGGGATGAAAAAAACTTCATCAATTCATTAATCTAATCAAGTTAATCCTCTCTTCATCTTCATCTTCATCCGTATCATCATCATCATCATCATCAGTATCTTAGTTTTTTTCATGGGCGAGCCTCCTTAAAAAAAAGCTTCATCATCATCCTCATCATCTTCAAGGTCAATGGATGATGGTGATGATGATGATGATGATTAACAATACCAATAACCTTGAAATGAGATATATTATCATCATCATCATCTCTCTTATCATCCTAATTATCATCTCGTTTCTTAATTAAAAAAGATTCCATCTTCATCTTTAAGATGATGATAATTTATTTTTCTCTTTCTCTTTTTTTCTGCTTTCTTAAGCTTTTTAACTTTTCTGTTGTTGTTGTTTTCCAATGAAATAATCAAATTAAAATTAATTGCATTCAATTAACAACCAACTCTGTAAATTGTATTCACCATTTAACTTTAACTAAACCCAATTAACTATTAAATTATTTATTTATTAACTATTAATTTAATGATTATTATCATTTACTGTATAAATATATGAACATATAACTAATTTGCAAACAATTAATTAACACAATCAACTCAATTTGATTTGGTTTTTAATTTTTTTGCTGTTGTATTAACCAGAAACAGAAATTAACAATCAACAAGATTAACAACAGTTGATTGTGATTAACGTTTTTCACTATTAATCAATTTTAATCAATGATTTCAACTGATTAATTGTTTGGGATACTTTTAATTGTTTCGTTATTTTCAATACCATTGTTAATGAATTTAATGTATTTAGTTAATTGTTACAATTGAGTTTTGTTTTTCAGTAACGGAAATTGTTACATTTGATTTGATTTTGTTTCCATTACAATTAAATAATTATCACAATCATCATCAGCAATGGATCATGATAATTATCGTTACAATTTTGTTAAATTGTTACAATTATTATTACGATCACAATTATTTTAGCACAATCATAATCATCTTAATTGTAGACAATCAATTGGATTAATCATAATTATCTTGATCATTTAGTTTTTTTTTGTTCTGATTATTAGCTCTTAATTGTTGTGGGTTCAACTTTCACAATACAATAATAATTGACAACAATTGGATCTAATAGTAATCAAAGAAACAAGAAAATTAAATGAACACACAATTAACTAACTAACCCACCTAAATTGTTATGATTAAACAATGATTATTGGTGGGTAAACTATTATCATGATTAACTTTAATGATGATAATGATGAGAATACAGAAATTAAAACCAATTGAAATTGAAGATCAATTAATCAAACAGAAAAGCCAAATCAACAATTAGAGATACAATTTAATTTGAATTGAAAAACAAATTGATTGGGTGAGTGTGTGGATACAAAATCAAATTAAATTGTAATCAAAAATCATTTTGGTGTTGATATTAAACATTTTGACAGATCAATTTATGATTAACTTAACTGCTGATTATTAGGATTGGTGAATTAAGTTAACTGGTTCATTATAATCTTAATCATCATCAATTGATTAACTTTGCTTGACAAATTAAGAGTTAGCTTTGATTTTTATTTTTGCTAATTGTGGTTAACTGATTTTCATGAGTTTGCTCAATCAATTTGAAATCAATCTCCACCTACAATTAACTTTGATTATCCAATCACAATTTAACCAATTCCAATTCATTCATTGTCCATGCGTATCTATTGTTGTTTGATGATTTGATAATTATTATTAATCATTTGGGTGTGGATTCTGTGTGATGATGATAATGGTCAGAATAAAATAATATGATTAGTTAATCATGAGGATAATCACCATTATCATGATGAAGATGATGAAGATGTGAGAAAATTTCATTCTCTTTATCTTCACGTTTTCATCTTCATCTTTCACCTTGTTGATGATGAAATTTCTGTCAGAATATT